CACCCAAGGTGGACCTGAACCTCCCCATTCTTACAAACATTGCAGTGTCCTGGAACATTATCTTATCTGGAGATAATGTATCTGTGGAAATTATGGTGCCACATAGACATCTTCACTGCCAGAGATTCAGAGGAATCTCCCAATTTCTTCAAAACGCAAGAACATTGTTCATATTTTAAGGATCACTAATCTGTTGTCCTTATTTCTTGTTTTGATTTGATGCTCATCTGTTCTCATGTTTTCATTTTTCCTGCGTTGCTCAGAGTTAATTCTACTTATTTATTTTTGAATTGCTCTGTATTATGTCTCCATCTATGTTTAAAGATCTCATATTTGGGACCAGATCTTCCATCACTAGGTGATGCAGTCATTAAGTGAGTCTTTATGCGATGATGCCCAATTTTACAACCTTTTTTTTGCTGCGTTCATTAAGTGAATCATACTATTGTTAAGTAAAGCCAGCTGCCCCCATTTACTTTGCTTTTGGAATCCACTGGGAAGGTGGGGATCATGTGACTCCAATATGCTGTAACAATCATAAATACATACCAGTTGTCAGGCACTGAAATCATGATATGGACTGAGGGGATGCTGTTGACGGTTGTTCAACAAATTGTATCCTACAGTTTCAGTACTTCATTAATGGAATTCATTGTAACAGATATTTGTTAGATAATATTTGTTTTCTTATACTAAGAGTTCAAATTCATCTTGCTTATTTCCCATACTCTTAGATGCTGTTGTATAGAAATGCAGGCTGTGTTTGAAAGTTAAATCAAAGCATCTTGAAAACAAGGTAGTAATTACTAGAAGTTAGAATGATTTTATTACTCTGACAGGACTTCTTCTTATCTCATTTTTTCTTAAACCAAGTAATTTCTGTAGTAGACTAAAAGTGCTATGGACATAATAGATCTTAGTTTCAGCAAAGCATTTATACTCCATGGCATTTGTAGCAAGTTAGTTATAGGCTGGACGACCATTAAGTGGATAAATAGCTTGCTAGAAAAGAAAGGAAAGCGTGCTCATCTATGGTTCCTAAGAGTGGATGGTATTAAATGGAATGGCATGAAGGATCAGAGATTTTGAAACAGGGTCAGAAAAAGGTGACATAGCTGGTCCTAGGAGTAGAAACTTGAGTTCTGTGAAGAGAGATTGAAGGAAATGGGATGATTATCTGTGAGGAAAGACAATTGAAACGAAATACAATAGTACTTCCAAATACTGAAAGGTATCACACAGGAAATGTAAAGTTCTATGTATAGAACATGGGCAAATAGATTCAAGTTATAGGAAGGCAGTTTCTGATTGTTAAAAAAAATGCTTACTACTACAGTAAGGGCAATTTGATGGGGGAACCAAGTGCATAGAAAAGTGTACACAGGTGAATTAAGTCCAACTTCCTTTGAATTCCTTTGACCCTCATCTAACCCCAAGCAGATGCTAACCATTGAGAAGGTTCCTTTGCATAGGCATGATTAGCAATAAATCCGTTTAATTGGATCTTCACTGGCTTGACACTCTCCAAGTAATCATCAAAACCCCTTGGTATTTGTTTGTTTGTTTATTGTTGAACTTATATACCACCCAATGACTCTGGGTGGCTTATAATCCAAGAAAATACAATAAAACCTATAAAATATAAAAGATGGCCAGTACAATGGACTGGATAGAATGCAGCAAGGGTTCTCCTTCCTCCTCACTAAAGCCCTAGGTGAAGAGCCAGGTCGTCATGCCTCTTCTAAACAATAGCAGAGTGGGGCCATCCAGATCCTGATGGGAACCTCATTGCAGAGGGCAGATACTGCTATAGAGAAGGTATATTTCTCTGGGTCCTGATAGTTAACATTGTGTAATGAAAGGAACTCAGAGTATACAAGATTAAATCAACCAGGCAGGTGGAGACAGGTGGTCCCTCAAGTAACCAGCCCCTTTAACATGTTATATTGTGTTATGTTACATAATGTTATTATGTTATGACTCCTTTATAAAAGGTGCATCATCATAGTCCTTCCTTGTGCCAAAGCCATCTTGTCTATAGTTTGCAGCATGAAGACTTTTCCTCTGTAGACATCTGCGCTTAAGATGTGAAGGTTGGGTCCTATGCCTGCCTTTGTGGAATATGCCTCCTTTTCTGTATGACTGAATAACCTTATTTCAGTAACTATTTATCTATGCTGGAACTGTCCAGATGACACATTGAATTCCCTTTGTGCTGTTTCTAGCATTGCTTGGGTGGATATGGACAGTGTTGAGAACAAATTACAAGATATGAGGTTACTCTAATGGAGTCCAAAAATGTTAATACCTATAGAGGTTTGGAAATTAAATAGTTCAAATTCCTCTGGGTGGGAGCTTTCCTAACTCTCCTGGACAGCCAAAAGTTCCTTTCTTTTCTGGTTTTAGAGATGCATTGAGCAGTAATCAGCTCGAATGAACTATGTATAGAATTTATCTGAAGGAGTACTCCTGCTTGCATTTATTTTCCCTTATGTAACTGTTTCTCTCAAGTTTTATTGATGAATTGGTTTTTTTTTTTTGTTTTTTTTTTTTTACAGAAGTCATAGTTGGACCCAAAGACAGTGTGCAGTGGCTTAGGATTAAGGAGGAAGAGGTCTATGTCTGCTTTTAGGTGATGGACGGGAAATTTTTGATTTCTCAATAGAGTAGAATGCCAAGATATGTAGGAAGGAGGGAATAGCAAAATGAATCACCCGAAATGTGAAGAAGGGGGAGAGGAGAAAGGAAATTCCTCTCATACTTTCTGACTAAGGTAGCTTGTTCTGTGGCCACCATCTGCTTTTTGTTCAGGGCACTTCTCTAGCAACTTGAGGTCCCCCTGTTACTATGAGGAAGACCTAAATGGCTCTTTACAGACTCTGCCAGGTTCACTCACCCCATGAGTGCTGACAGCGCGTAGAGTTTATCCAGTTGCCATCGGCATGTCTGAGGAGGATCCTCAATATGTACAGGACTTCAGACTTTTGGAAATGAAGGCAAAATACTGAGAGGCTGTTATGCTCCCACACAGAACTCTGCTCTTGTTCTTGGATACTCTGCTTTTCCTTCTGTCCTATCCATTTCTCTGACACAGCACCCCCTGTCTTTCCCTGTTTTCCATTTTCCTTCTTGTTTTCTTTTCTGATGGAATCTTTCTTTCTGCATTCTCTCCGATGCGTTCATGTTCGCTTCCAGCAGGTTATTTAAGCACACATAAAGGGCCTGTGGCTGATCATGCTGGCTCTCATGTATACACACTCCCATAGTCTTTATGAATGGAAAGCAGTAAGGAAGTGTAGATTAAACTTGCCAGGCGCTCTGATCTTGCTTCCTCTCCCCCCCCCAATAGTCTAAATTGATGCTTTTAAATTATTATTATTATTATTATTATTATTATTATTTAAATTTATTAATAATAGAGAGGCAATGAGGAAAAGGGCTGAAAGTTGTGAGAGAAAAAATAGAGGTAACTCTAATTTAATTGTATTTCTTTTTGTCTGGAACTGGCCATTTGCCTTAATACAACTTTCCACATCCCAGGACCATCACTCCCCAAACTGACCATCTTCGTCCCATTCTGAATTTCTCTGAAAGGTGCTTAGAGGTCCTTCAGGAAGGATGGTTTCAGATTACTTTCAGATGATATCAGGAAATTCTGCTTTTCTGCACTTAACAATTTTTTTTAATGCTTTCCCTAAGGCAATTTTTTTATGGCAAGGCCAGGACCATGTTAGGTAGTAGATCGGGCATGACAACTTTTTAGAGCTCTTCTCAAGACCACATTGACTCTCTCCTATTTGGGTGCTCCTTCCTGCATTCTGAGGACCCTTTGAAAGTGGGAATTATTGAAAGCCATCTTTTGAATCCCAAATAGTTGTTTAATGGATTAAAATGAATATGATGTACCTGGACATGGGATTGTTGAAGTTAATGTTTTAAGCCCTCCCCACACTTCCCTTGCTTTTAATATAGTTAAAATTGTTCTTGCTGTGCTGCTGTTAACAATATTGGCACAATACTCATGACTGGATTAAGTGGGGCAGAAGGGGAGAGGCAAGGTTAAACTTTTAAAATCCCTAGGAAAATTAAAATAAACTTTACTTGATGTTGAAAAAGTTAGCAGCATATTTTCTAGTCAAATTCTCAGAGAAAAACATACTAGCATGTGATTCCATCTCTTTTCAGAGATGCAGATATAATGGAGATATAATGGGGCCATTTCAGGCTTTAAAGGTTAAGTCCAGGTATTTAAATGGGGCCTGGAAACAGCACTGACACAATTCCAATCAGATGTGTAGTCATTGTCTTTTGGACTAGTTGAGATTTTCAGACTACTTTTTCAGGCAGGATGAAATAATCAGAATGTGTCTCAATAAGGCTACAATCAAATCCTCTTTCCTTACTCTCTTACTCAAAACTACCTCTCTGAAAAAAGTCTTTATACAGAGAGGTGTTTCCAATGACATTATGCATGTCGTTTCTTTTCATTAATCAAATATTTTAGGGTTCTTGGATCAATACCACCATAACCTGACCTGTTTCAGAAGTGGGATGAAACATATTTCTAGCAGAATGCTTGCTACTTACGTTCAACAAGCCAGTAATATCTATCTATATATAGTGACATTTTAGTTTTCACAAAAGAACTAGGAGACTTAGTTTAAGCCAGGATTTTTCAAACTATGTTCTGTAGAATCTTAGATTTCTACAACAACATGATGGGATTCTGCAAGAGACTAAGGTATGAAGAAGTTGTTTGACTTGAGTGCAGCCAATTTTCTTTCACTACAGCTTTGGCTTTTGATCAGGAGTTTGGGGGATGTGGGTTGTTTTTTTTTAAGTAACACATTCTGTTCCTTGAAAAGGTTTGAAAATCTCTGGTGATTGTGGAAACAAGACTGCCCAGAAACAAATTTTGGATATATCCTTGTCTCATCAGTGCTCCCATTTGTTCTTTTGTCCAACATGTGATCTCTTGTCTACTTTTCCCTTGCTTACAGACCTATGCCCACATATCGAGTAGATGCAGATAAAGGCTTCAATTTCTCTGTGGGAGATGATGCTTTCGTATGCCAGAAAAAGAACCACTTCCAAGTCACCGTGTACATTGGTATGATTGGAGACCCAAAATATGTCAAGACTCCTGAGGGTCTGAAGCCACTTGAATGCTTCTATCTGAAACTGCATGGGGTGAAGGCAAGTCTAAGAATAGCTGACTGCATCATTTAAAAGAATAGGAGTGGTCCGATGGGAAAACTTTAGGAAATGTGTAAATGTATCTCTCTATTAAAAAATCTATTAAAAATAAGATTTTTTAAAGAGCTTGTTTACAGTTACATGGAATTTTAAGTAAAAATGGGTAGAACAATCCAATATATAGAATTGCAAATGCGTATCTGAGTTTGCTTGTGTGGTGGCATGTTTGACTAGCTAAGTTCTAAGTCAGAGTGGGTGATATTTAAAAAAAATGCTCTTAATTAAATTTAATACATATTCATAAAATAGATTATCATTAAATTTACAACTATTAAAAGAGAAAAGATACCCAGTGTATAAATTGGTGCTTAAAAGATTGTGAACTCTTTAAATCCTAAAAACTAATAAGGACAACCCAATTAAACTAGTGTATTTACTGAGGAAAATGATACAAAGCTAGATATTTATATGTGGCAATATTAATATGGTTTTGGAGCCTGCTGGATGACTGTTTTGATTGATACATGACTTTGCACTTTATTTATTTATTAAGCTTATATACTTGCTTGCATATTGCCTTGCCTGCTTCTTACATTTTCTGGTTTTAAATTTTTGTTTTAATTTGGTTTTAAAGAGGTTATTGTTTTTTATTGACCTTCATGTTATTTATTAACAGTTTTGCTTGGTTGTCCATAATCACAAATATGAAACAAGTGATTATACAAATTGAATGAATGAATGAGTGAATGAATGAATGAAAACAAACATGGACCCAACCACCTCTCTCTCTTGCGTAGCCTTTACAAAACCAAGCAGTATGTGAATCTAATAAACAGGTAATCAAATTAGTTGAATCTTTGCAACTTTTAAAAATCCAGATAAAATAGTTTTTTTTAGTTAACAGCTGTTACCTTTTTAAAAATTTCCATTACTATACAGACATAGTCTCTTTTTTTATATAGATTTTATTAGTTTTTATAGGGTTAGGGATAGGGTGGGGTCAGAATTAGGGTTGGGATTAGGGTTGGGGTTGGGATTTTTCCAAATAACATTTTCAATATTTAGCAAACAGCATAATGTGTACAGCCATAGTCTTTATGAATTTAGAATACTACTTTAAAAATCAAATAGAAGGCACATAAGAATTACAGCTCTAGCATTTTTGTTGTATTTATGGTATAAAATTCATTCTGTGTAGTATTAGACACCATCTATATATCAATTTATAGACATTCAAAGGGGAGTATGGAATATGTTTTTGTGTCCAGATCTTTTGTAGGGATGCCCCTTATCAAACCCTGTTTCTAATGTACAATAAAGAATTTCATTAAAGTTTTGTATTATATTTTGCTCCCACTTCTGTGTGGTTAGTTATTAGAATTTAGAGTATTAACGTTTGTGCGGTCCTTACTGAATTATTTTTCAGTTGTAGTTTGTTAACTATATGCTTCTGTTATAAATAGTGACAGATGGTCTGACTTAGACAACACATTCTTTAGTAATTTCCCTGTGATTATATTTGTTGAAGGAGTTATGATCTAAACTGCATATTTATTTATTTATTACATTTATTGGCTGCCCATCTTACTGCAGGGTAACTCTGGGCAGCTGTACACATCAAAAGACCCATAACTTACATCTAGGAGATACATATGTGTGTGTGTGTGTGTGTGTGTGTGTGTGTGTGAATTTATATGTTCATATTGCCTTCCTCTCCTGTAAGAAGAATAATTGCCAGTCTCAAGTACATAGAATTATTTTACTGCAGTGCTTTAAAATGAAAGTGCCTCTTTAAAAATGAATATACTTAAGAATAGAGCATAAAACAAAACATGGTTCTCATAATTGTCTTTAAAATAGATCTGAGTCTTTCTTTTTTGTTTTTCTTCAGTTGGAAGCATTAAACCAGTCAATCAATATAGAACAGTCTCAGTCGGACCGCAGCAAAAGACCTTTTAATCCTGTCATGTGAGTACTACTCAGGGCTTCAGGGAGAAACCAGGCACTGGGATCAGGCTGTGTATTTATTTCTATGTTTAGTCCTCTACTACTTTCTTTTTAAATGCTGGTTCCCTTTACCTCTTGATCGGTGAGTTTTATAAAATGTCCTTGTCCTGCTCCAACTGATTAATTGGCAGGTGACAATCGTCCTATTCTAATGTTCTTTCCTTTTCAGGGTCAATTTGCCTCCAGAGCAAGTCACAAAGGTCACGGTGGGCCGGCTGCATTTCAGTGAGACCACGGCCAATAACATGAGGAAGAAGGGGAAGCCTAATCCTGATCAGAGGTAAGCTTCCACTTGGTGACTTTTATTTAAGATTTCCAGGGCTTTTTTCAATATAAAGGTCCTCAGGATAGTAATCAAATGTGTATAATGGAAACCAATGTGGAATTTAAAATAACTTTGATGTTTAAGGGTTCCATCAAATTCAAATTCAAGATCTACTTTTAGCTAAAGCAGTGTTTCTCAACCTTGACAATTTTAAGGCACGTGGACTTCAACTCCCAGAATTCCACAGCCAGCAATGCTGGCTGTGGAATTCTGGGAGTTGAAGTCCACGTGCCTTAAAATTGTCAAGGTTGAGAAACACTGAGCTAAAGAATCACACTGAATAACTGGATCTGTTATTTTTTTTGTGCCCAACCTGCCTCACAAACTTTTTTGTGCTATGTAAGTGGCCATAAATAAGAATAGCTCACTATTGTTTCCCCAAGTACCTGTCTACATATCTCTTACCTATATCTCAGTATCTCCTTAAACTGAGTCACCTGAGGGTGGCCTAGGGTGCTACATTCTGGAAGTATTTTCCTAAGGTCCCATCCCAAAAAGCTATGTCCAGACAAAGTAGGAAGTGGTGAAGTTTATTGGGGAGGCAGCCCAAGTTGACACACTTTTGCCAACAATCTTGTGGTTCCAGTGAATTCTGTTGGTTTCCTTTGGGACCATCTCTTCAGTCTGGACCTGACTTACTCACTTGCCTTTTAGTCCTCTTGTGTTTGCAAGATCAGAACTCTGTCTTCTGCAGCCACTTTTTTTTTAAAATTAGTTGGTTGATCATTCAGTGTAAAGCCCTGAAATTGACCAGGCTGTGCCTATAATTGGAAGTGTAATTGAAAGGGCTTGTAGCCTCTTTGCAGGGAATGACTTTCCCATGCTGCTGCTTCCAAGGAAGCTCTGGCTACTTCCTTCCTCTCTTCATATTCTCTACCCTGAAATTTAGAAATTTACAGTTTACAGATCCCACATGGATTTCCCATAGTTAAGCCTTTTTCAAACTCTGGTTCTTCAGTAGGACTTATTCCATGGCTGCATCTCAGTGGCAGAAATCCAGGCTAGCGTTGGATGGCAGCTAAAAAATACAAAATAATGTATGTGCCCAACTTTTTGCTGCCATGTAAGGATCCATAAGTTGAATAGGCCATCTGTTGATCCAAAATTTCAAGAAATAATAATAAAAAGCTTCAATTATTAATGCATTGGGAAAGAAAAAAAATAATAGTGCATAGAGAAAGCAGAGCTTTATGAGTGCCCAATGGAGAAGTCTGAAATTTCAGCTAAGGGAACCACCAATCATTGCCTTTAGACCAGTGATGGCGAACCTTTTGGAGACCGAGTGCACCAAAACCGTTTCTCCCCACCCCCCATTCTACCCTCACTCCATCCACAGGGCCACCACCTCCATGGCCTGCCACAGCAGATCACCCAGATGGCCCAGCAGCACCATGGCAGCCACACCCTTCGACCGTGCCCCTCAGCATCATCTGCTCACGATGGAGCATGAGGGTGGAGTCTTGTCCCCGCTGCCTGGCTGCCATGTCCTTGGCTGTGCTGCTCCACACGGGCCGCGCTTGAGGGCGATTCTCCTCTGGGAGGGCTGCTGTGAGGAAGGGTCCGCAGGAGGAGGCAGGTCTAGGGCAACGGTGCGTGTGCCCATAGAGAGGGCTCTGATTGCCACCTCTGGCACGCGTGCCACAGGTTTGCCACCGCTGCTTTAGACTGTTTTGCACTAAAGCTGTTAGGCAGAAATGCAACACAGATTTGTTCCAAGTGTGTGGTAAAGAAATTATATTTTAGGGTATTCAGATTCAGAGTGGCATAATTTCTTGTCAGCTGTGGGATAAGATGGGAGTGGAACATGGCAAAGCAACTACGTGGATGTTGCCTTACAAAATACATACTGTTCAACACTGCTAGAATATCCAAAACTGTTTATAGTTGTTCACTTAATAACACTACACTTTTCTGTGAGAAATGACTTGCCAGATCCATACGGGGAGCTTCATTTTCACTGTCAGTGCTATACAAAGCAGAATATCTGTATTGCCCTTTTGTTTCTCAGTCACAAATCTCAGATTGTTCTCCCTTTAAGACAAAGGAACAAAACTGAATGGTTAAATGTGCGATCAGAATTTAACACTTCAGATTTACTTTTGTAAAATTGTGACATAAAATAATATCTTGAAAAGCAGATAGGCTCAGAAAAAAAATCAATGTTGAATTCTCTAATATTTTGAAATGTCTAATTTATGTTATGCTTTTTCATTTCCTGTGTGAAAAAGAGTGGTTTTCATTTGTGCTGGGCTAGGTTTATCTCTGATGTCTATTCAGGAAAAAGACACAGAATGCTGAACTCTGCAAACCTGCCTAATTCAGATGATTTTAAATAAACTGCTGGAGTTTTGCAGTTATATTTTGAATGTGTTTTGTGGCTCTACAGGGTAGTCTGCCACCATACCTGGCTATTTTTCAGAGCCATTATCACACACAGAATCAATTGGTTCTCAGTATGTTGTGAATGCAGTTTAGTTCTAAGTAGAGTTGCTCAAATGTCTGACAGTGTTTTCTTTATTTTATTAAGGAATGGGATAAATTTGAAAATTATCTTGTATTAAAGAGCAGAATATTTTGATAAAACATTCACTATGTTTTTAGAAAATCTCATATTTCACGTGTACTATGTTTCCATCTGTGAACTGGGGAAAGTCTATGCTTATCTGGTCCTGTCTTGTTTCAGATACTTCATGCTGGTTGTGGCTTTGCAAGCTCACTCTCAGAACCAGAACTACACTCTGGCTGCTCATATCTCAGAGCGCATCATTGTTAGAGTAAGTCTACTCCCTTCCCTTGCAACATACCCTTCCATGGTTGTGAACATTCAGAGTTTTATACTTTACTTGACAGGAGTTCCTTCATGTTCTTAACCCCAGTACCAGCCTGCCCCTTGTTCCACAGTGTTCCTTGCTTTGCTTTTCTCATTCGCAATTCCTTCTACCCTAATCTTGTTTAGCTTTCTGAACTCTGACTCTTTCTTCCACACAAAGAAGGCCTTTGGCAAATACTTATATTAAACGAGTTCCAAAGCTTTCAAGGCTTATAGGCTCCAAGTAAATATGTGTGCAAGGAAAGCAGGTTTATTGTTGGAAGGACCTAGGAATATTGAATAATAGATATTACAAGTGATGTTCATGTTAATCATGTAATTGTATTAGTGATAACCAATACCACCAGTTAGCAAACTTTCCTGTTCCATGACAAAAACCGCAAGGCAAGTCTTATGGATCAGATATTCAACGGTTTTGTTGAATTTAAACCAGCCCCAAAGGTTGCACTTTTGCAGACTTATGCCTTAAAGTTCTCAAAAAAGAAATGTGAAGTATAGGTGAGGGAGACGTGTAGAAGTATTATGACTGATTTCACCCAGGGACATACTTTATTAAAATGGGAATATTTCTGCCCTTTTGGCTTTGGAACATTTGTGAAACTGGTGTCCCCAAATTTGATCAACTGATCAAATTTCTTAGCAATCTGTTTAGCAATCTGAATAAACAAGTGGAATGTTTCTTCACTTTAAATGGAATAATCTTGGGAAAAGGCAAGTGAAGAAGTGAGTTGTGGCTCTTGCATTACCAAAGTTAGTAAGCAAATAAGGAGGACACTAAGCTGTGACTTTGTAGTTGGCTGTCTCCGCCCTGCTGCCTTTTTAAGTGCTGTGTCCATTTCCTCTAGCAAAGGGCCGGTTCGGGGGTAAAACACAAACAGAGGGCAGACGGGGACCCTGGAGTCTGCAGACAAGTAAGTAACATGCTGACTTATGCAGTCTCCGGGGTGGTGGGGGTGGGGGACCTTTGTTGTAGATTAGTGGGTAAAGCAGATGAAAACAGAATTATATATCTAGGATGCTTAGCTGCATCCGATTTGATCAATTAGGGTAAGGATCTGTCTGCATTAGCACAAATATGTGGCTTGGTTATACATTAGAAGCACCTGTGAATTGCACATATTTCCATACCAGTAAGATTGTGCAATGTATACAATTGTATCAGAAGCAATACTGTACCCATGTCACTTCCCTGGAAAAAGAAGCATTTCCTGCATGGTGTATCTTTAGTAATTGTCTATATGATAATAGTAGTTAGCTAATATCATTAATTTACAATTCCATGTTAGCTTTTTTTTAACTTGATTTTTTTTGATACATGACGAACAAAATACAAGCAAAAAGCAACAACAATATAACAGTAAAATCACAAAAATATATGTAATAATTAAAAGGAACTAAAGCTGAAGATTTAAAAATCTTGTTTCATTTCTCTAACCCAGTTGAAACCAACACTCCCCCCTCCCATTTCACTAATGATGAAAAGATGAAAACAGAGAGGCACGTAGCTGCCAAATTTTCACTCTTGACAAATCTGTATGTTAATATAGAACTAGCTGAACTTTATCATATAATTAGATCTAGTCCATATAGAAATACACTATTCTCATGTTAATAGTACATGCAACTTGATATTAAAGACAGGATTCAAGAGATGTGTTCCTTCTTGATTTTTAAAATGTCTTTATAATGTAATATGTTTTCATAAAGGCACCACTTTTCTTAAAAGAGATTAGAATCTAACCACCATAGGACAGTCAGCAGATGCTAGTATATGTGAGAAAGATGTGAGTAATTATATATGTTTACACTGTCAGCAAAGAGACTTTGTTGCCTGAAGTAAAGCCTAAATGGTGCCCATTCCCAGACCTAACTGTAGCTGCCAGTCCTCCCCCTCAAAGTTGCACCATTCTGAGTCTTTATGTATGATACTCTGAAGCAGATGCCACCCGAAGCAGAATGCTTCTGCTCAGAAGAATGAGAAAAAGGAGCATGTCAAAGGCCACCAAGTGGCTTTGTGACACAAATACCTTCTGTGGAAAAAAATTGTTTGAGATATAGACATCCTGCGAACCCAGATCTTAAAGTAACAGGATATTTGGATTGTTAAGAGTATAAGAAATGAAGAAGCTTCTTTTTCTGTTCGAAATCCAACAGAAAATTGGAAGTTTGAAACAGTTTTTCTCAGTTTTTCTCTGAAAAAGTAAAAATATGGTCTTTGTACATTATTTTCAAGCATTTTAAACTATTGCTCAGTGCTTTGTTCCAATATATTTCAATTGTTGTGCTGCTTTTAATGTGTATGGTTTATTTTAAATTTGTTTTTATTATTGGTTCAGTTGTTTAAAACACTATGGGTTTTTATTTTGGTTAGTAATTACATAGACATGCTTCATACAAATAAAATTATTATTAATGTGTAGACTTAGTTTATAAGGGCAATAAATTATTCAGCAACTGTTGCATACTAAGTCAATATATGTAGTACTAAATATTTTACTCATCAATGAGAAAGTTTAAATCTCTTTGAAACACTGACTTTTTTACTATTTGAAATCCCACTGAAACATCCCAGCATTTAAGCCATGTACCCTAAAAGTCTAAATGCCAGGGATATGTAGAATAAAACTACAATACTAGAATCAGCTGGATAGAATCTTTATTTCCTGTTGCTTTGCTTAACCTATTGCTCTTTTTAATAAAGTCTGACTAGTACTTCAATTACTCTCTCAGTTAGTACTGGTGATAATAATGTCATGAATTTTGAAGGGAGCCCATGAGGGAAGAAAGTGTGGATTTAAGGGCCAACTTTGAAACCTGTTTTTGGATGGAAAGATACATATTTGGTTAGATGAGTTAGTGACAAAAATGCAAATGAGCATTTGGTGAGGGAACAATATCTGTATCTGAAGCATACTGTATATATAAAGGAAATAGAACACGTGAGCAAAAAAGAGAAAGAAAATATTCCTGTGTAACCTGCTGGACTGATACATATGCAGAAGAACTTTTCCTGCCATTGAAAAACCACAATCTCCTCCCACACACCTGGGAATGTGGTTTGGAGCTTCCAGATCTCTTCAAAGCAAAGGAGGTTTAAGTCTTGAGCAACTTGGGTTGTAAACATGGTTTCTTCCTTTTTCTCCTGTCTTTCTGAATTGCTTAGAAGAATTCATCATCCTGGATCACTTAAATCTCCTCTAGGCTCTTCCTTCACAATCCTGCAAGAATTTATTTTAAGCTGGGGATGATTTTTACTTTATGGAACACTTTGTTCCCACTGACTGTAAGAAAAAGCCTATTTGCAATATAACCTTTCTCTTATGAGCTAGGAAAGAAGGTTTATCTTGCTGAATCTGTAAACACATGCTGACTCAAGCTCCTTGTGCTGAGTTGGCAAACCAGATCACACTGCCTTCTCTAGTTATAAACAGTCTACTGTTAGACTAAAGGAACAACTACATTATAAAGTAGCTTTTGACGGATTCTATATCTCTCTTAACATGGGCAAAGAATTATGTGTTCTTATCCATGCTGATAATCATAAGTGTTGCAAATTGAGAAATTCCCATAATACTCTATGACATTGTGTAACCTATCTTTCACCTTAACACATGAATGCACATAAAGTGTAGCTTCTATCACAATTGTCCATAAAGTACGTCATGTAATATACTTGCAAAAGCTTTGGACCAATAAGCATCTTGTGGAAGGTTGCTGGCTCCTGTTTCTTTCTTCTTTAACCTCCCTATCAATGAATGGCTATTGGTGCAACTGAATATTTTTCCATTTCTTCAAGAAGAGAGCTTTGTTTTATCCTATAGAGTGTCCTGCTGGAATTCTCTATTTTTCTCAATCATTTGCAACTATTGACAGTTAATTCTCCGGATGTCTTTTTTTGTAGGCTTCTAACCCAGGTCAATTTGAGAGTGACAGTGATGTACTTTGGCAACGCTCTCAACTCCCTGACACTGTCTTTCACCATGGTCGAGTTGGCATCAACACAGATCGACCTGATGAAGCCTTGGTTGTCCATGGCAATGTAAAAGTTATGGGATCCCTTATGCACCCATCAGACATCCGAGTAAAAGATGACATCCAAGAGGTAAGTGTTCACTCCACCAATTATATTCAGTAGGGCATCTGCTTTGAAAATCCACACTTTCACTTTAGATTTCTGAACTGAAACTTTCATGAGCACTGAGCAAGTACTCCTCACTGCAAGCCAAAAAAAAAAAAAAGAACACCATAGACATAGGCCAATTTTGCCTAACACTTGGAATTAGCAGATGTTCTAGTCTCAACAATGTTCAGGAGGCAAACATGCAGAGGCAGTTGCTCTGTTTGATACTTCCTGTGTTTTGTCTCACGGTGTGTTTCGTTGTTTTTTCCTACATCTTCCCTCATGTCAGGATACATAACTATAGTTCTAGCTAAGGTTCCATTATTGTACATGGGACTTGCTTGATATATAGTTATATATCAACTTGTCTTTGTAAAATGCAATTGCAAACTTTTGATTTTAATACTTTGTGTTCTATATGAAAGGATGAGTTCCAAGATTGCCATGAATCTCAGGTTGTAACTTTGCCTAGTTTCACCTCCAAATCCCCAGTTTGTTTGTTTTTTTACTTAAAAATACTTTATATTAATTACTGAACACTGGATAAGATACATTTGGATTTGAAAGCTTAGGTATTTAGTCTAAGCTTAGAGTTTTTGCTTAGTTAAGCTTAGACTAAGAGTTTAGATACCTTCTTAAGTGTGTGTGTGTGTGTGTGTTTGTTTTCTGAGGTTTTCGCGGGTGTTTTTGTATGTAGGTCTTTGGTTGTTTGGGTTTATACGCGGGAGAAAACCCGAACAACCAAAGACCTATTTATTTATTTATTTCTGAGTTTTATATTCTAAATGATTTACATCCTTGCTGATTTTTATAGAATATACAGTACTTTATTCTGTAAAGGTCAGCACAGATACTAAGTATTACAGCCAGTTATAAAACTGGACAGGCTTTGCTTTGGGTGGTAGGAAATAGTACTAAATCTCCTTAATTTTTAGAAAATTGAAATGCTGTCCTTTACTCAAAAGGCTAAATTCTGCTGGGATTCAAATTTCCACTATACCAGGGGTGTCAAACTCGCAATGTCACATGATGTGTCATGACATATCACGACTTTTTTTCCATTGCCGGCAATGGGGTGGGTGCAGTTTCACCATGATGCATCCGGCCCGCGGGCCAGCAGTTTCACACCCCTGCACTACACCTTTTCTATTTCTATCAAATATGGTTGGGTATAATTATCTGGTATCTGAGTATTGAAGACTGCAGAGTACTTTTATGGGTTTCTTTTTCTTATAATTTTAGGTCGACACCACAGAACAACTGAAGAGAATCTCCCGTATGCGGCTGGTGAACTATAATTACAAGCCAGAGTTTGCTGCCACTGCTGGTTTGGAGAATACAACTGAGACAGGTACATACAACTGAGACCTCAGGCTTAATTTACATTAGCAAGCACATCTGAAACTATTGATTACAGTTATTCCACATATTCTTGGCTTCTCTTTGATGACATTTGTTGATTTGGCAATGATGTTATAGTTACATGTGACATTTTATCTGAATATTGTTTCTATACTTAGTGTGTTTTTGTCTAATACCTAAGTATTTAACACTGTACAAAATAGAGGAAAATCATTTACCAAACATGATTCATCATGATGTGAAAACCCATGCTTGATACTCTTGCTTTACTAAATAGAAACTGAATTACTTTAAATATCAGATATACTGTAATTGCTATATTTATACCATTGTTTTTCATAGCAATTTATTAAAATGCAGAATGCATTTTTGTGCCTTTGTTGGAGCATAAATGTTGGTGCACCTTATGAGTGGGTGTTTTAAAGATAGGGTATATGATCACACAATGGTGAATTAATATTTGTTCTGTTTATTTCCTCCTCCCACTCATCTTCTCCCACTATGGGGCACATGGTAGATTCCAAATACTTTATGGGTAAAACTCAATTCCTCCGAGGAATGCTTAACTGATGACTTTAAAGATATATCTGTACGTATATGGATTGTGCTTTTTATTTCCCAGTCAAGCACACAATTTTTGAAGGAATCCCATTCAAGTATTAACCAGACCCCATTCAAGTTAGCTCCCAACACCAGACAAGGCCAGCCAGAATCTGTCACTTGTTGAGATATTTTCTGTAGCACTTTTCATAATGAAAATGTATTCATCAGGCCACTTACTCTAACCAGTAGCAATGTAAGCTATTGCTTAAGCTCACCTTTAGTTGAAGGAGTGTAAGGATGTGATGAAAGTAGTGTGTTTGATGCAAGAGTGCCTGATGCCAAAATGACTTTGGCACACAAATACTATCTTTCTATTACAATGAGCTTTCCTAGGGCTTATACTGAACCTTTTAGCTATTTCTAAAGTGAAAAATTTAAAATAAGTACTTTGTTGCAGTTGCTGCTAACGTTTATAAAATAATACATCTATTTAAATTACACCTTTAATAGTGACTTTTCCTCATAAATATCTTCTATAATGGCACTTATTGGGCTCAAAGCTGTTACGTTTTATGTTGTTTTTTTTCTGCACAGGTGTTATTGCTCAAGAAGTAAAGGAAATTCTTCCAGAAGCAGTAAAGGATTCTGGGGAAATAGTCTTTACCAGTGGGAAAACTATTGAGAATTTCCTTGTGGTCAATAAGGTGAGTGAAACTCTTGGAAATAAACTAACAACATAGAGCTAATATTCTGAAGAAAATTAAATCCATACAAAGTCTGGAAAAAATATTTTTTTCATATTTTTTTTAAGTTGCATCTTAGATATTTTGTTTACCAGTGCTTGTTTTAGGAAGTGCTGATAACCACATTTGTTGGCTTGAATTGATGGGAAGGAGAAAAAAAACTAAAAATAGGAAGTCTGCTGACAAGAACAAACTGGTTCAAATCATTATAGGTGATTTGGTGGAGAATAATAAGATAAGTGGTTAGTCTATATGTTTCTTAAAAAGCCTTCAGAAGAGAAGAAAGGACAGCTGTTAGTTCTTCATGTGTCTCCCACATTTAGCTTGACTTCAAGTAAAACTGCTTAATTTTTTATAAGGACCACGAAGAATTTAATCTAATGAAAAAGTATGCCAACTACTTTTTCACATGATATACTAGTGAATGTCTTCCCTAACCTACATGTAGGGCAGATTGTAGAATAACATAAACCCATAAGTATTCTTATCTATTGAATGTTTATTCTATTAAAATAAATTGTATACATATTTTAATATTCTAAGCCACCCAGAGTTGCCCTATGGTAAGATGGGCGTCAATAAATTTAAATAATAATAATATTTAATAATATACATATAATGTATTATAAAATGTTTATTTTATGAAAATATAGTATATATATATATATTTGTGATATTTTTTAAAAAAATGGAATACTAATGCTGAGATGGAATAGATTTATGAATTAACAAATAGAAGACTGATATGGACCAGAAAGAGACCACTCTTACATTTTATAAGCCACACTACAGAGTTGTGGTTATCTGGAAAATACAATTTCACATTTTGGTTGGACTACCTTTAGTCTTGAAGATAGATATCCAATTTTTGGTTTCTTAAAGATAGATAATCCAGTTTTTGCTATCTCTTTCCTTCAGTCTTAAAGCTAGATATGTAATTTTTTATGATGATCAAAAGTGCATTTACATGGGTAAAATGCATATGTCATTGCATTCATTCCTGGAGATATCAGATACGACCAATGGCAAATCCCTTACCTTAATAATAGCAACAATTGAATTAGTTTCAGAGCTGACGTGTGCTATAATTGGAACTTGGAAAAGTGTGAAAATTTCAGCTAGTCCAGAATTTTGTGCTGAATATTATTGAGAGGGCCACTTATAAGAAGTTTGATTGCATCCTTTAAAGCTGTGCATATTTCTTTCTCAAAAAGACAAATCTGCTCAGGGTTTACCAGTTCCACCATGATAAGAGCCATGCTTGGTGGAAATATGGAAAAGGGCCTGTCTGCATCTTTGGAATGCCTTGCCAGCAAAGTTAATATACATATATTTTAATTTACACAGATATTTGGCAGATAAGCTTGTTGTCAAATGAGATGTAATTTGATTGGATGTGTATTATGCCTTTTTATTGTGATATTTGTGTTTAAACATATATCTTTCCATTAGCTACCTTGAATATCATTGGAGTGGAATTTAGATTCATTAAATGGAAATATACATAAGATTTTTAGGTACTGTCAGAAAGCAGTCTTTCTCCAGAAGAGAGGAATGGTAGTGAGCAGTGAATTAATAGTACTGTAGACATATGAAAAATACCTGCCCAGATTGTTTGAATTTCACCATGTGAATATGAGAAACTCAGAAATTGAAAAAGTGGAGGAAAAGGTTTGAGATTAAGATCCTTTCTTCAAAAATGGGCTTTTATGTGCTGTTACATAAGTTGCCTCATCACAAAGTCTCTGTATCCACATTTTTCTCTACAAGTTTTGCATAGTGAAAAGATTTTTGCAAAAGGCCCACAGTGAGGAAAGTGTCTGTTAAGTCACGTTGCCTGACTTGTTAAGTTTCCTTTTTAAAAAAATACTTGTAAAAACAAAACATCCTCAACCTTTGAAAATAAAAGACCCAATCACAAGGTAAGGATTTCAGCCCATCAGAAGGTCTCTGTATAAAAGAAAACTTTGATTTTGTTCATCGCAGGAGCGTATTTTTATGGAAAATGTTGGGGCTGTGAAGGAGCTCTGCAAACTGACTGACAACCTGGAGAACCGGATTGACGAACTAGAGAGGTGGAGTCATAAACTGGCCAAGCTCAAAAGACTGGACAGTATGAAGTCAACTGGAAGCTCTGGAGCATTCAGGTAATACAAATACCTGACTTTTAAACATGACTCTTATTCAGCTTTGGATCATAATATGAAGTGGCCACCTGGAGGAAAAGATTCTTGACAGATTTAATTCTCTATCACAGAAATAACTTGTAGGTTGCAATCCTATGACTTAGGAGGAAGCTTCATTGAGCACAGTGGCACTTTTAACTATATTAAGATTTTAATTAATAGAGAAGCTCATAGTTTTGGAAAAGGTTCAGGTATTTTCCAAGGCTGAAGATTTAGTTCCCTTTCCAAGAGAGACGGGAAAGGACTTTTTTTTTCTCCTTTTACCATAATTAGGACTAATATGATATTTCTCTAATCCTTAATGAGAAGGGGAAAATATTGCACCATTCAAGCTCTGGACTATATGAGTGTCCATTGTGTTTCTGAACTCTCCCAAGATAAATATGGATGTAAATCTGTATCTTTAATCCCATTCTTGAAAAGGCCTAAAGAAGTACATTTTCAAAGGATGGCACAATCAGATAAACAATGCAACAAATTTGAAGATAGGTTTATACTTTTAATGGTTCCTTGTGCAAGAAAATGTATGGTTCTCATTATGTTTGGTGGCTTTCCACTTTTTTTTTCCATTCATGTTCTACTCTTAAATGTTTTGCTGCAGTTGAGAATACAATCTGTTAAGTGATTCTCCTAAGTCTTGTTTATGTTTTGGATAAAGTACTCTAATTAGTAAGAGCCCCATTTTTGCAGTACATATTTGTGTGTTCTGAGCATGTATTTTGTTTGTATGTATGTAGCATACACACACACACATATATATATTTGTTTTCGTAGATTTTCACGGGTATAGATATGCAGGTCTTGGTGTATTCGGGTCTTTTCCTGTGTAAGATTGAGAGTATCTTGGTGACGTTTCGACAAGGTCCCACTCGTCATCTTCAGGCTGGGGTCTTCGGCTTCGTGCTTGTGCGAAGCCTCGTCGAAACGTCGCCAAGATACTCTCAATCTTACACGGGAAAAGATCCGAATACACCAAGACCTGCACACATACATACATATTTACATACGTAAATCTTCATTTGTTCAAAATCTTAAATCTCCGAACGTTCTTCACCAATTGCTTTGAAATTTTGACACAACATTGCATTCAAATACACGCGTGTTTTTATATACCTACTATTATATAGATGTCACACCTGTGACAGGTAAAAATATGGTTTTTTTGAAAAACAGCGCCGGCAAACCAGACAATCTCTATATCTGCACAGACAGTGGAACAACAAAAAATATTGTATACCCACAAGCATTATGAAATTAAACATTACAAACGTGTGCAGAAATGAAAGAATGAGCGGGACAAAAGTGCAATAAAATATGCTCATTTAGATGCAGTATAACTTTGTTTTTTTAATACAGCCAAGCTGGGAGTCAGTTCAGCCGTGCAGAAAGCATGCCGCATAAAAAGAGGCCCCCCAAAGTGGCAGGCAAGGTAACTTTTTACAAAGATACGTCGTTTGTCTGATTTTTTGTTAAGGGAGGTATCATTGGAATATTCTGGTCTTTGATAGAAGATGCAGGAGCTGGTCCTCTGATTCCCTTACTGTACAGATTGAAGATATGGAAGCAAAAGATATATTTGAGTTCTGAGCAACGTCATGTTTATTCAGAGTGTTTATTACACTGTCGAGTAAATGCCAGCCTGTTCTGCAAATGTTAATATGCTATCCTCTATCATTTATAAATAATATGAATTCATATTGCTAATTATGTTCATCGGTTAAGAATATAAATTCATAGTTGATGCGGCTAAGAATTGCATTGTGTGTGATATACTCTTTGATGCGAAGTTCTTTTATGAGTTGGTACTCAAATTCATTTCATCCAACGGCTTTCTGTTTTAGTGATTTGTAACTTCTGCTTTAAAAGACTTGCCTTCCATGTAGCTCTGCCACTCCTTAGCCTAGGGGTCGGCAACCATAAACACTCAAAGAGCCACTTGGACCCATTTCCCCGTGCGCCAGAGGGGGGGATTTCATTGAAGAGTTTAATTAAAAAGAAATAGAGGGTGCTGTGCATGAGTTCTCTCTCTCTCTCTGTCTCTCCCTCCCTCCCTCCCTCCCTCCCCGTCTCCCTTTTTCTCTCTCTCTCCTCTCTCTCTTTCCTCTCCCTCTCTCCCTTTCTCTCTTTTTTTCTCTCTCTCCCTCTCCCTCTCTCCCTCTTTCTCTCCCTCTCTCCCCGTCTCTCTCTCTTTCTCTCCCTCTCTCCCCCTCTTTTGCTCTCTCTCTCCCTCTCTCTCTCTCTCCCTCCCTCTCCTCTCCCTCTCTCTCTCTCTCTCCCTCTCTCTCTCTCTCTTTCTCCCCTCTCTCTCTCTTTCTCCCCCCCCTCTCTCTCCCCCCTCTCTCTCCATCTCTCTGATCTTCTGCTCACCTGGCAAGCTGGCTTCACGCTGTTCTCCAACAAGCTGACACACATTCCTATTGGGCTGGCTCTCTCCTACTCTTCCTGTTTCCTGCAGAGACGCAGCCAAGGCAGGAGCTCTGCCCAATAAGCTTGTCAGCTCGTCGGAGAACAGTGTGAGGCCACTCTCTTTTACACACACACACACAGAGAAAGAGAGAGAGAGAGAGAGAGAGAGAGAGAGAGAGAGAAGGGAAGTGCAAGTGCCTCTCTCTGTCTCTGTCTCTGTCTCTCTCTCAGCAAATGGCAGAGGAAGCTGGGAGCCGTAGGAGAAGGCTCAAAGAGCCACGTGCAGCTCTGGAGCCATGGGTTGCCGACCGGTGCCTTAGCCTATACAATGTTTTTCATTAAATAATTTGTGAATATTTATTCTTCCTTTGGGAAGATTTAGATAAGAGTTCCAAAGATTCCATAGAAAGTATAGTTTGCTATTAACAAAAGGGCAAAGCAACCTATAGGAATCAGAACTAAATTTAGTCAAGCAGACATCTGACATGATTTTTCCCTTTGCCTTTATTTTGTGCAGACTCCCTCACAAGGAGTCAAAGACCAAGCTTGCATCAGCCAACGTTTTCTGCAAGGTACCATTATTGCTCTGGTGATCATCATGGCATTCAGGTGAGTGACTGCATATTTGGGCTACTACGCATTCCTTGGGTTGGTGCAGAATGTGTGAGAGAGCCTGCATATTTGGGATTTTTCTTTGTGTTCTTTGTCCTGGCAATGTTAAAACTATTTTAAGAGCTACACTATAATAATGGCAGTTGATGCTTTACAGATATTGGAAAGGAGATAGGAAAGAATAGGAATAAACCCGCTGGGTGAGATCATCAGACAGCACGGGATGAGGTTTCATCAGTATGCTGATGATACCTAGCTATATATCTCTTCCCCGAGCTCTCTCAGTGAAGCGGCTGATGTGATGGGCTGTTGCCTTGAAACCGTGAGGGTCTGGATGGGGGTTAACAGACTCAGTCTCAATCCTGACAAGACCGAGTGGCTTTGGATGTTGCCTCCCAAGGATCATGTTAACTGTCTAGTGTTGACTCTAGCAGGGGAAAATATACCCCCTTCGCAGCGGGTTCGCAACTTGGGTGTCCTCCTTGATCCACAGCTGAAATTGGAACATCATTTGACGGCTGTGGCTGGGAGAACCTTTGCACAAGTTCGTCTGTTGCACCAGGTGCGACCTTACCTGGACCGGGAGGCTCTCCTTACAGTCACTCATGCCCTTGTCACCTCACGCCTGGACTACTGCAACACACTCTACATGGGGCTACCCTTGAAAAGTATTCGGAAACTACAGTTGGTCCAGAATGCAGCCGCGCGAGTGATAGTGGGTGCTCCTCGATACACCCACGTTACACCTATCCTCCGTGAGCTGCACTGGTTGCCTATTGGTCTCCGGGTCCAATTCAACGTGTTGGTTATTACCTTTAAAGCTCTATATGGCTCAGGGCCAGGTTATTTGCGAGACCGCCTACTACCTCATAGTTCCCTTCGTCCGGTTAGATCCCACAGGCTGGGCCTCCTTCAGGTCCCGTCGGCCAAGCAGTGCCATTTGGCGGGACCGCTGGGGAGGGCTTTCTCTGTGATGGCGCCCACGTCTTGGAACCAGCTCCCCCCGGAGATTAGGACCGCTCCCACCCTGTTGGTTTTCCGCAAGCTGTTTAAGACCTGGCTTTTCCGGCAGGCCTGGGGTTTATAAAATCTGACCCCTGGATGACTTTATTGTACTGTTTGTTTTGTCATGTTATATGGTGCTTTTATTGTTAGCCGCCCGGAGTCCTGCGGGAGTGGGGCGGCTTATAAATTTTAAAAATAAATAAATAAACAAACAAACAAACAAACAAATAAATAAAGTCACTTACATTCATGAATATAAGTAACAAACAAATATAGCCTGTTAGAGTAGAGCTCCTATTCTGTCTGAAACACAGAAACTCTATGTTTGGAAACTTTATTTGATGTTTTCTCTTTCATAGTGTGGTGTCCATGTCTACACTCTATGTGCTAAGCTACCGCAGTGAGGAGGACCTTGTGGATATTGAAGGGTATGGAAAGTAATTGGATTCCCATTTGAGCTGAGGGAAAATTCTTAAGGAATTTTTGATGCAGATGTTTGGGGCCAGCCTTACCATTTCGAGATGGCAAAAGAATAAGACAGTAAAGGGTATTGAGAGTAAACATCAGCAGTTGAGTACCAGCATCTCACATGCTACCTTAAGAGTAGCTGCCAAGCTATGATTTTCAACTAAGACTGAGCATACGTTTAGGATATTTGTTTTCATGACTACTGCTTAGAATTTATTGCAATTTATAAATTCTATAACAAAATTCTATAACAAATGTATATAAACACATGAAATGTGTACAGGTACACATCATTAGGATCTGTTCTAAATCGTCATTAAGCAGTTTCTAGAACCTGTGCTGTTTTATGTAACTGTCCATATGTTCTAGCTGTATACCAGTTTGAAATGATGTATTTTGGATAATTCACAGTGGAATGTTAATTATTAAATTGACCTTTCTCTTTCCCTCTCCTTTGCTTGCTTCTTTTTTGCTCCATTTATTTATCTCCCCCAATCCCTCTCTATCCACTCTTTCCATCAAATGCTCTTTGTAACAATTTCCTTGTTTGGTTGTTCCATTCCTCCTTTCCTCTTCTGTTTTTGGTGCCTTATAGCTCTTTTGCTGTGCCTACTACTTGCCTTCTGGCTCTTTTTCAGCATAGAGGTCCTGGCGTCCCAGTTGCTCTCTGTCCATGGTATGGTCCTACTTTTTCAATATGCTGCAATACATTTGTCCTATTCTTTCAAATCTGCAGCCTTATATTTTTATGCATTCTACCTTTTTATATCTGTCTGCATTTTAGTGTTGCTTCTTCTCAACAAAGGCAAACAGGGAAAGAGATTTTGTAAGGCTTAAATTGGTATACTGAAGTCAAGCTTAAATGATGTGTTAAAGTTATAGTTAGTTTGAATGTGCAAAGTATAACATGAAAAATACGAAGATTGAAAGTGCTGTTCTTAATTGCAAGAAATCATCATTTTTAACTAATTGTGTTTCACTAAATAGATTTGGGTTGCAGTCAGACTGAAAACAGGATGATGTAAAGTGCTCACTCCAAATTCATAGGTTGATATCATCCTCCATTGATGCAGCTAACGAGGCAACATTTAATAGAATGTAAAGGATCTAGGACTGTACTAGAAAAGTAAACAGCTCTCAGATCCCTTGGATCATTTCTATGCTTGCAGAATGTGATATACAGTTATATGCTTATGTAGCTATAAGCTGAATAATGTAAACAGGTGTCATCAAGTAGAAAATATGAACAGCTAAGCAAACAGGGAGGATCATGTTTTGGTTGAAACCAGGACTATTTATCAAATTCTGAATTATGCTTGCAATCTCATCCTAAGAGTTTTTTCCAGTGGAAAGGGATGGGTTTAGAACTGATTTAAAACAATGTTAGCCCATTTGCCCTTTGTTACTTTGTCAAACTATGTTAATATGTTGAACTATGTTTATTCAGAACAATAATTTTACTTTCCATCCTATTTTCTGTCCCCCTTTTATTTTTTCAATGGTTTTAAGTCTTCAGATTACAAACGTGACCTCATGCACAGCCTCTATCTTATTTCATCTCTTTCCTTTCCTTTGCTATGCATCTGTTTCTGTTTTATTGTCAAAACTTCATGCCTTCACTTTTCTTACATTTTAGGTCCAGTCAGAACATAGATAAAAATAAGATGACATTTTCCACTATTGCATCATCAAATACCCCTGACAATGCTTCCCCTTCAGAGCATGGTAGGTACCAGTTCCCATCCCCAGGTGCATTTTAGTCAACTATAGGCAATTTCAAACTTCTATTTCCATTCTGAATGCCTCAAACAAAATTTGAACACAGTTTGTTTTGTTTTCTCCTGACCTTGAAATGGGACAGTCATAATGCAAGGACTGGTTGTAAAGTTACTTTTTAATGCTGTTGTAACATCAGCGGTCACTAAAAAGGATAATCATTAAGCAAGGACTACTTGTAGAGTAGCTACAGAGTTTCAAAGCTAGAAATAAATTGGCTCAGCTGTGAACACAAACAATAGTGTAAGATCACATGGCATGAGACTGATTTTAGAATCTCTGCACGTCTGAATCCTGGATTGCTCATCTGGATTGCTCACCTGGAGATCAATACTGGATTGCTCACCTGGCGATCCAAATATGGGAGATGTGATTGATTCCACTTAGGATGCAGACAAGAAAACAGTACTGATACATTAAAGATGTAGTAACATAAAGCTCTGTTTAAAAAGAGGCTGTTGTTCACTAGAAGATTGGATTTCTGGTGTGGACAAAGTCAATCCATGTGACTGCAAGAGGGAATTCATCCAGTTTGAGAGAAAAGACGAATTCAAGGATAATTTTGTGAATTATGTATTTAATACAGGAAGCTAATTGATGTTGTTTTTGGATTTGATACAACTGATCTTGATTCTGTTGCGTTTTTCTTACAGCCACAACCCACGCACCTGACTTGTCCCCTGCCTTGCCTGCCTATAACATAGTCGTCTGTATCAACCCACCTTGTTTTTCTACTTGTTGCTCTTCTGTTCCCAACAACATATCTATTCCTGGGCCTTCTGGGACCACTACAGTTGCCACCAACCGGATAGGTAAAACCAATTGGTCCTATCTACTTATTTAAGAATTTACAGTTATAGACCAAAAAGTAGGAATGAACATTAAAATGGAAAATACCTAAGCTAAAAGTCCACTTACAGCACAAGCTAAGCATGCCTTTGTTATGCTCAGAACCAGAGACTTATAACTGCCATTGCAGAATTTGGCCACAGTGTTGGTCATTTAATAGGAAGCAAACACTTGCTTCCTGAGATCACTGTGAGCAAATTGTGATTAGAGGAGAGATTAACTGCATCCTTCAAGGATAATAGGACGTTTCAGAAGCACACATGCAATTGTCAAAATTTCAGATCTGAACCAGTGCATTAACCTCTCTAGAGATACTGTTCCATCTCTTGGTCAAGATCATTCAAGGCAGAGCACCTGAGCTTCCCCCCCCCCCAGTGGTGCTGTAGCTGCAGCAGTAATTCATATTCATTTATTCTGTCCTGAATATGCAGAAGCAGAGCCAGATTTTTTTGGGGGGGGGGTGAGGGAAGAGAATCTGGATTACCCTATTCTTGTTTCTGTGTGAATGTTGTTCTGCACCATTTAGTTACACTATTTCCCATAATGCTGTAGATAGTTCTCTGCTATGCTATTGTGTTAAATGGATCAGTATCTACTGGCAAATAGATATTTATTTGCTATATCACACCATAGCTACTTCCACAAACTCTCTACAGTATTTAAATGTATGTGCCTAATAACAAGGATGTGGTTATATAACGGTAGCTAGTTTTTTTGATACCTTTGGTTATTAGACATTTGTACATCTGACAGTACAGATGTACTGTAGTAGTAAACAATCTACATTTACAGACTCAATTCTTTAAATAAGTATTGTAGCCATTAAAAATAATCAGCTACCTTAATTTGATGTAGCAAAAAAGGAAGAATTACAGTAACTTAAAGACTGTCAATGGTTTTGAGCAGCATTCAATGCCAAGAGATTTTTTCATCAGGTAAATGAATGTTTTTCTGTGAATATTTTTTACTCTTCTCACCTAATAGTAGGAAACAGAGAAAATCTGGGTGATAAAGCCATATTAACACCATTATTTACATAAAATTGAATCAGTTTCAAAACATTACTCTTGGGGGGTCTTAATCGTTTTGTTTCAAGGCCATTCTATTGGAAAATTTATCTTGCTCTCCTACTTATATCTGATTGTTGCATTCTCTTTGGAATTTGCAGAATACAATGGTCAAGATTATTTAAATATTAGAGAATAGTTTGTATGATTTTGGTTTCTTAAGGAAAGGGATAAATTCAATGTGTGTAGAGATTTAAACAATAATTTTGGCTTTCCTATTAGTTGGCTAGTGCAAGCAAGTTCTTACAGATGCATTTTCCGCAAAAATGTTTTTATATGGAATTGCATCTGTCTTAAGAAACTCCTGCAGGATTTTCACTGAGAACGTACAGTATATACTGTGTTTCCCTGAAAATAAGATCGGGTCTTAATTTTATTTTATTAATTTTATTAATTTTTGCTCCAAAAGACGCATTAAGGCTTATTTTCCAATTAGGTCTTATTTTAGGGGAAATACGGCACTAAATGCATCTGTCTGGCTGATGATCTTAATTGGGGCTTATTTTTGGGGTGGGGCTTATATTACGAACGTCCTGAAAAATCCTGCTAGGACTTATTTTCCGGTTGGGTCTTATTTTGGGGGAAACACGGTATGATTAAAACATCAGAATGCACAGAAACTCTCCTAAGGTATATTAAAAATTAAAGTTTTTTCTTGTACAAATTTAAGATGTGAAGAAAATAATGGTTTTAGGCTAGCCTTTTCTCCAACTTGCTAATTTACTATATAAAGGGATTTGATTTGTACGTCTGGTATGAAGAATTCAACCATGTGAGTCTACAGTGTTGGAAGCTAGTCACAGGTTTATCATCCCTGAGAATTATGCTGTCGTAGATGTTACACTTAGGCTCTTAGATATCTATCCATTGCTGATCCCTTCTTAAATTATCTTTATTTATTTTTATCTTGCTGCTCTGTTTTTATAGGCCAAAACTTTGTGTCACTCCTACCAGTGACAAACATCAAAGCCAAATCAAGGGGGATCACCGGCAAGACAACTTCCCACACGAAGTGGCCAAAGACTGCTGACCGATCCCGGGGCTTTGGGGGTCCTAATTCCAGCCCCTCCTCCCTCTTTACCAACATCCAGAGCAAGTCCAAATATATTGCCAACCTCCCCCTCACATACAACAGCTTTCCTTCCGATCAGATATCACGACGGCAGCAACGGAGCATCAGCCAACCAGATGCTAAGGAGCCTGGCATTGCAAGCACCAAGCATACTGGTAAACATATTTCCTATTTTCCCTGATTACTTGGCAATAGAGACAATTTCCACCATCTCTGCTCATCCTACCAGAACTAGCAGAGTGACATGTTAAACAACGTCTTCTTGTTGGACTCAGGAATTGTGTTTTTCTGTGGCTGTGGCTTATGGAATGTCCTCCCTCCAGAATTTCAGATTGCCTCAACCCTCTTAGCCTTTCACAATACATTAAAGACGTGGCTCTTCCCCCAGGCATTTGGGCCAGGAGATTGTCAAGATCTGCCAGCTACTGCTGCTTTCTTATAAGTTTGCATTATATTTGTGATCTTGGGAGTTACGGTTTGAGTAGTTAAAATGTTGTTTTTAGCCTGATAGATGGTCCAGAGATGAGAGGGGAAGACATACAAATCAAATAAATAAGTAAACAGGCATTGTTTAATGGAAGAAGGAAACATTTTTTGCCCCCAAAGAAGACATGCAGGAATAGTTCATGATTCAGAGACCGCAAAGTATTGTGGCCAGAGCAGCAGCAGCCTGGTCACGCCTTGTCTCTTGTATGTGTACTGAACCTGCATGTGCCTCATCCACCACTTTCAAGCAGAAACATACAATCTTCAATTATTGTTCTCATCTTTGTGTATACCTTAATTCCAGTGGTGGGATTCAGCTGGTTTGCACCCATTCAGCAGAACCTATACCTAATTTTTTGTTGAGTTCAGCAAACCGGTTATGATAAATCTGGGGTTTTCCAGAACATGTCTGGTTTTCATTCAACTTCCTTCCAGGCAGGGAAAAAAAAACCTCTCCCCAAAACCCCAAGAGAGAGCAACAGAAACAAAATGGAGACCCAGGGCCTTCAATCACATCAGCTGCCCATCCGCCTCTTCCCTTTCATTCCCCTCCCGAGCCGGATTGCCATTCTACAGTGGATGGGCCTTAGCCAGTCCTCCTCTGCCGTTTCGGAGCTAGGAGGAGTGACAGTGAAAGGTTCTGCCACCGCTGGGCAACAGCCACATCTGCCACTGGAAGGGCTTTCTTCGGTCCCCGCTGCCTCCTTCTCTGCCAATTCTCCCATGGCTTGCGCCATGACTGCTGCCTCCCTCCAGTCCTGGTATCCCTCTTCCAGCCCTCGGTCGCCGCAGCCACACTTTCTTGTCACCCTGCATCGGCCCGCGTCTCCCTTCTCCGTTCTGGAAATGGCAGCCCCATTTTCCTCCCAGCAGAAGTGAGTAAAGGAAGGATGCTTTGTATGGAAGGACACTATGGTAATGTAAGCTCTGCTTTTCAAGGGCTTTGCAGAACCATCGGGGAAGGGGAGCCTGGCCTTCCTTGCCCAGCTCCAGCTGACGTAGTTTTCCCGGAGCTTATCATAGTACCCTTCCATTCGAAGCGTCCTTCCTTTCCTCCCTTCTGCAGGGAGGAAAGCAGCAGAAAACGGGGCTGCCATTTCCAGAATGGAGAAGGGAGACGTGGGCCGATGCAGGGCAGCAAGAAGTGTGGACCAGCGATTGCTGCACGGAGGAAGGAAGAAAAGAAGACTTAAAGGAAACCTGGGGAAGTGAAGGAAGTTACCGTAAGCCGCCTTTCTCCCTTTCCCAGCTGGGACGGAGGCAGCCCACAGAGGCTGCTGCTTTGTGCAAGCAGGTGCAATCCTGGTGACTGAGGCTCCTCAGAGCCACTTGAGAAGTTTTGTTCCTGAGTAGTGGTGGATGAAACTGACTACCTTGCAGCAGTTTTCCACCTCAGGTGGCTTACTCCACCCTCCATTTGCTTTTAGTGTTCAGGGAAGCCTGTGCCTTTATGTGCAAACCATGTCCTTCTCCTTACTGCAATCTGGCTCTCCCCAGTTGACTAATCATTGGCCTGTTGGCATATAGGAGAGAGCCAGTTTGGTGTAATGGTTAAGGCATCAGACTAGAAACCAGAAGACCTTGTGTTCTAGTCCTGCCTTGGGAACGTAGAATCTAGGTGGCCTTGGGTCAGTCACACTCTCAGTCTTAGAAAGCAGGCAAGGGCAAAACCTCTTTTGGAGGAAAAAAATAACTTTCCAAGAAAACTGCAGGGATCAGTCCAGGCAATCAATAGTCAGGACTGATTCGAAAGCACCCCTGATGGGCAAGCAGGAAAGATTTGGGTTGCAATGAACCAGCCAAGGCCTCTGAAACCTTTCCTGCTCTATAGCTACAGATTCTTCACATGTATTTTAACTATCTGCAAGCACCTCCTTGACATATCCTGCACATCTTTATTCCTTCTTTACTCTCCTCCAGAACATCCCCATTACTACCAGCCATTACATTTGCTAGTGTAGTTTCTTTTCAGACTCTGATGACTGGGACTATAGGACAGGCATCTTCAAACTTGGCCCTTTTATGATTTGTGTTCAACTCCCAGAATTCCTCAGCCAGCGTGCCTGGCTGCATGTAAAGATTTATGAGGGGATGGCAATCATACATCCTTAGCAGGCATAAATCCCACTCCAAGCTATCTGATTTCCCTCCAGCTTGGTTTAGGCAGAAATATATATGGTTGCATTAGTTAGAAGGAGATCACAGTCTTAAAACTCCTCTCTGTAGAATGATTAGCATTTTGTGGAACCCTCCTGCTCCATCTTGATTATTTCTGTCCTGTAGAAATGACTCCTGTGCTCCAGTCTGTGTCCCTGTTGGAGGCAAATGTGGTCATCTTACCCCAGGTCTGTGCTGCAGGGGATGATTGCAGGTAAGTGGGAGCATAGCAGCCATAAGCTTTGTTAAACTGGGAGTTCTTTTTTTGTAATATATTTTTATCTGAATTTTTCAATGTAGTAAAATATTCAGAACAAACAAGAACAAAGTTAGAAAATAAGAAATAGAGGGAAAAAGAGAGAGAGAGAGAGAGAGAGACAGAGACAGAGAAAGAAAAAAAAATATGACCTTCTGTCCTTTTTTCGGTCAAGTAATAATCATTTTAAAGTTTTCTCCAACTCTTCATCCCTTTTTAACATTCAAAATCATCAAATTGTTTTTTCTGCTTTCAACAAATGTCCACATATGGTCTCCAGTCTTTCAAAAATGTCTTTATTGTCTTTTCTCTGACCAACCTGGTCATCTTTGCCATTTTTGCAAATTCAGTTAATTTTATACTTCAGTATTCCCCTGTAGGCATTTCATTGCTTTTCCAAGTTTTTGCATACATCAGAGAGGGATTCTTAAAGGTAGATTCCCAGGAAATTGTGTTTATCCAGATAACTAAATATGCCAATTTAGGATTTTTTTTCATACATCTTGGTTGCCATATTACCAGTGATGAATGATGGAATCGTATTTGAGTGAATACATAACGCACAGCAAGAAAATATGAAGATAAGCCAAAAAAATTTGTTTATTCCTGCAGGACTGGAAATATCACTTATCGCATTCCCATCAGCAAATTTACATCAGTGAACACAAATCTTACTTTGGAAATGAAGTAAGTAAGAACTTTTGGGAAAGCACAGATTCTGGCAAGGAATATTGTAGAAAATGTTGTTGTAAAGGATAAACAGTTAATAGGGAACCAGGTTGAGAAAGGAGAATTTCAAAATGATATAAATAGTTGATAAAGATGTGATATCTGCTATTATTTCACAAATTGAGAGTACTATTCTCAATATAATTCACAGGAAAATAGTACTGAGTCATGAGGAAGATGGGAGACAGGGCCTTTGGGGAGGCTTCACAATCAGGTACTTGTAAATCAAACCTGGTTACCCCATTTAAGAATCCTTATCTTCCTCATAGGGCTGAAGATTTCACAGAGACAGTCAAATCCTTTGTAGTGATGCTTTTACTTATATTTCTATACCACTTTTTATCTCATAATCAAGAGCAGTTTGCTGCAATAACCGTAAAATGGCCACAGACAAAAATTAAAGTCTGTCAGTGCTACTTTGGGAGGATGCCATGTATTTCATATCCTGACATGCTGAAGATAGAAAGTTAGGCGTGACACAAAAGAAAATCTGTCTGTCGAAAGGACACATGATTTTTGTGCAGAAAAAAAAATCAGGTTTGGTCTCTTGACATCTCCAGTTGGGCTGCTGCAAAACCTTCTTCATTACACTCCAATGTTTTACTGTAGCAGATGCTTCTGGTTATTGTAAGCTGCCTAGAATAGCCCCATGGTGAGATAAGTGGCCAATAAATAAAATAAAATAAAATAATAAAATAAAATAAAATAATAAAATAAAATAAAATAATAAAATAAAATAAAATAATAAAATAAATAAAATATAAAATAAAATAAAATAAAATATAAAATAATAAAATAAAATATAAAATAAAATAAAATAGTACTAGAAAACTACTGTCAGGACAGAATGGAAAGGCCACTGGGAGTTGTAGGCCAGGAGCATCTGAAACACCACATATTGTCTAATCTGATGATGGGCCAGTGTTGCTACTTTAATGCAAGGTACCTTCTGTACTCTTAAAAGTCCATTTTATTCTTTTGTGTGCCTTACTCCACTCTGATATTGGCCTGTATATTTAGACCTGGAAAAACCAAAGCAGTTTGGATCAAGGAGTCTTTTATACTATTGCTTGTTGCATTGTTTCTAACGTATCCTATAAAATGTTTCATATAAAGTAAATAGGAAATTAGAGAAGTGGCTTGCTAATTATCATGTTCAGGATTTAGATTTGTTCAGAATAACTTTGCAAAATGTAGTTCCGTTATTCCTTGGAGCCTAAAATACTTTGCTTTCTGCTGTAACATAACAAAGATTTTCAGTCTTTTCTTCCTGCCTGCAAAACAACAGCACTCCTGAAAAGACTCCAGGAAGATACTTCAAAGGGTGAAGAAGGAAGAAGATGGGGGAATGCATCCCAGCTCTACAGTGCATTCTCTCCATTTCAAGTCCAAGTCTGATATAATGGTATACAATTAGGAACTGTGTATCTTTGGTGGGTGAATGTCCAGGCTGAGAAAGAGTACTTTACAGTGAGATGAGAACATGAATTCATAGACCAATATACTGTAAATAATGGCATTTATATTATTACAGAGGCCAAGAGGAGGCTGTGTTGAAAATGACTTGCTCATATTTGTTGCTTTCTGTTTCTTTCCTTCCTCTCAGTGCTTCCTCAGCTGTATCTGGCTATCTTTGTAATCTCACATCTAATAGCCCATGTCTGCACACTGACAGTGACCTAGACAGCTTGTCTAATGCAACAGATATTCAGGTATGATATATATATATATATATATATTTTAAAAAAAGATATCTCAGAAAATAGGGGTTTACCTGCTGGATAACATATTTGCATCTATGTTTTTGTTTATAATAGAAAATCAGGTTTGTACTTTCAATTTATTGTGTACTAATTAGACTGATCTCAGTTTTGTTTGGAACAGATATTGTTGCCCTTATTTCTTGAAAATCGTTCTTTAGTAATCTGCTTTTTAAAAAACTAACTGTAACACTGATTCATCTTATCTCCTTTGCTTCCCCTTCTCTCCCCTTGTCCCTTTCAAAACAGAAACATAAGAGCTTGAGCATATAAACTCATCTTTAAATAAGCTGAACCTTGAAATGTTCATATGTTTTAATTTTCATGGCTTGTCCATGTTTCATAATATTTTGACTAAAAATTTGAGGGTTACCTTAACCATCTTAAATGCAAGTATATATGAGTTATACACATACTTTTAAAAAGTATTACCGTATATACACGGAGAGCCAAACTTACTTTTGGGGGGGGGGTGTTTTGGCACATAAAATTCTTGGCTTATTCGCAAGTATATATGGTATCTTGCTGTCCGTTCTTCTCTAACGCCAGTTTCTTGCTAAAATGTGGGAGCAGAGAGCAAAGGAGATGCAGTTCACTTTAACAGCCTGGGAAGTGGGGCAACATTAAACAGCAACAACAGTTTTCTTTCATCCCAGGTATTGGATGTTCTTTTTTTCTAGGGAGCAACATACCGTTGGACTGTGGTTATGATGCCATTCCAGGAATTTACTTACCATTTCCGATTAGCTAGGCCTGTGAGTATCAATGCCTACCATGCCCTCTCTAGCATGCATTTGTAAAGCATATTAGTTCTTAGAGAGGAAAAAAATGCATATAGCCAAGGCAATGAAGTTGCCCTTTGGTAAGGGATCTCCTTCTGGCATCACATTAAATTGAACACTGAGTGAACGAGAGTTGCAAACTCCTGTTAAATGAGACAAATGTAAGGATTATATCCACATGTAGCAATATGTACAAGGATGGTGTGAGAATCTCATATTTAAATTCCCTAACTGATAAGTCCGGTATAGATAAGAAATGATTCTGTGTCCATGGGAAGGATAATGTCTAGATTTCACATGCTTATGCTTATTTCATTTTAGGATTAATCTTCAGTAGAGAAAAATAAGTTCCTCTGCAGAGTTAATTGAGAGGCTTTAGGAACACTATGAAATTTCTTACCACAGTATTGGGATTGCTGTTTTTGCTGTAGTGCAGTGCTTCTCAACCTTAGATATGTGGACTACAATTCCCAGAATTCCCTTGCCAGAATGGAATTGAAGGCCAAATAATTTAAAGTTGCCAAGGTTGAGAAACACTATTTTAGTGCAACTACCTGTGTGAGAGCACAGGAGAGACTTGAACTTTTAGGGAGCAGATTTAAAAGTCTGGGGCTTGTAGAGGAAGTCAGATTTACTGACACAGGATATCAGTATAAAGGTTTCTGGGCTTTAAAAACACACAGAAAATTAGCCTTTCTTCATAAAATCGGAGAAGAGTTCTAGTGATCCAAGGGGACCCATTCAGAGTATGAGCTCACTTTTTATTTTGACTCTAAATATGAACTCATTTACGTTTATTCCAAAAGAAGTAATAGTTTTGAGCTAATGATCTGACCAACTCTCTGTGGTTTGCTTCCCCAAAGGTAAATTGTTTCTGATGATGATGGCTATTTGCAAACCCTCATGGTTCCCTCAAGAAAATAAGAATTCCTCTCAATAAAAAAAACCAAACCCTTCATTTCCTTTGAACCTTATTTTTTTTTCCCCATTTCCTCCTCACAGGGCCAAGCTAACTGCAGTACCCCTGTGGAGCAGATGGGCTCTCTGTTTAATGACTACTATTTCCAGTTTTATTGGCTCTGTGAGTGAGTCTCAGGAATACCTGCAGCCTTTTGACAGAAGCAGAAAAACGATGGGCTCCAAGACTCTTTTGACCGAATACTCTCTTCAAAGAACACCATGCCCTGACTAGTTGCTTCTAATCAATAAGCTCTTCCTTTGGGTCTGAGTTACTTTGGTTTCCTTCCTAGCAGAGGGATGTTAATCTTAGAATGTCATACTTTGGGAAGGAATACTGCCACAAGCAAAACAAGGAAATACAGGGGCATTTTGTTTTCTTGATTTGCTGTAGGATGGTAGAATTCCTCTGGCTTGTGAGTACACTGGATTTTAAAATTTTAGGCTTGACCATGCTTGTGTTCAGTCTACTTGGACATCTCTGAACTGAAAGATATGGCTTGACTGGAAATAAAACTTGGTGCCCAGAAAGTCAGTGAAACAGCTTTCTAAGGCAAATTTCTTACCAATGATGTGTGAAGTCCTATTCTAAAATGGAAACACTGGATCTGTCTGAGAAGGAATTTTATCTAGATGTGTTGCAAGTCATACACTGGAATTTTCAACTTTCTAGCTGGCAGTCAGATGCTTCTCTTTAAAGCTATGCTTGACAGAAATCCTGGTGACACTGGAATTCAGGGCTGATAGGTTGTTTTCAATAGCAATAACCAATGGAAAAGCTATGGGGTTTACCTCTCACTTCTTCCTGCATCTATCTTACTATAAATGTGTATTCGGCAGACAACAAACCTCATGGACCCTGCAAAAGGCACTCTCAGGCAGGCCACATTTGCACCCAAAGTGCCTTCTTTTCAGGACTGGATGAAGATGCTTCTCAAGAAGATAGCTCTCTTCTTCAAATATACTTGAGAAAATAGCCTCTGGGCTCTATAACTGGACTCCACAATGCTGGTATCATAATAGCATTGACTGAACCCTTTTAAATTCCATTTTCTGCCGCTGCCAAAAATACATTCGTCCCAAAGAGAATATGGAAAAACTTGTAGTATTAACCCTTGTGCCAGAAACCAGGAAAAGGAGGCCACCAGAAGGAACATACCCAGTGCTAAAAATATCTACACTGAATATTTTTTAATCTCTAAGGGGTCAACAAGAGTTTCTGTGAGATAACAAACAAAACACTTTTCTTCATTCTAGGCTTTGAATATCCTTCATATTTCAGGTAATTTACTGTTACAAGATTTTAATTTGCTAAACCACTTGGGGTTTTTTTTCACCAAAAAGAGAAAAGAAGCAGCAGCCAACGTTCAAGTCAGTTATTGATTGGCTTGTGTCTCATAGGAAACCAAAGTTGAGTCCACACTGAGTGCCAACCTGAGCCAACATTTTGGATTAGTTGCTGGAATAAGTCAGATGTACAAGCACAATATCAAGGTATCAGCCTTCTGCCCTCAGTTCAAAGACAAATGAGTTAGGTTGGTTCAGGCCCTGGCTTTTTATTTCTAATATAGTTAAATAAGTTTTATGTAGGAGCAACAACAGTTGCATAGAGAACAAAGAGATGGTCTGATGGGGAAAGTAAGAAGCTGCTGGCTCAGCTATCTCAACTAGAACGAAAATATGGTATAGTGAATATATGAAAAGAAGCGTCCCTCCCTTTGGCATATTCCAGCCACCCAACACTGCAGGCTTTTAAATTGGTTTACTGTAGTTAAAAATTACTAAAATAGCCCTTGGCTATTGGTATTTTTTTAAAGCATTGGTGTATTTGTGAAAACACACAGTAGTGTTGCCTGCATTCCTTGCTGGAACTGCCACATTATTAATTTATCTATTACCAGGTAGGCATGCTTTTAGGCTATTACCAGTGTTGCATATTTGACACTGCATTGTATATCTATGCTAAAATGTACACTTCCCGGAGAAAAATTATAGCTAAAAATAGTTTTATGAGAACACTACTAATAAATGTATTAATATGTATGCTAACCTAGCAGTTTGAAAGCATGCAAATTCGAATAGATAAATAGGTACCATTTTGGTGGGAAGGTAACAGCAATCTGTGCTCCTCAGTCATGCTGGCCACATGACCACGGAAATGTCTTCAGACAATACTGGCTCCCTCAGCCAGGAAATGGAGATAAGCACTACCCCCTAGAGTCAGACACAACTAGACAGGGGAAACGTTTACCTTTACCTTTAACCTGTTTTCACAAAATAATGTACCAGTCTAATTGTTCTTCAGGATGCTTTAAAACGAGTGGTACTTACGAATGCAATATAAAATTAATTTGTTGTTAATGATTGACATCTTTGGGATGCTGTATGTTGTGTGCCCAAGAATAGTTCCTAAAGAAAAACAGCAGCTGGGCAATTTCTATCCACTGGGAGCAGTGATGACCCATTTGATGACGTAGGGAGGAGAAGACAGAAAAGGTTTAGTTAGGTCCCCCTCAAAGAAAACAGATAGGTAAAGAATGTCATGACTGTCATTGCTAATACTTGCCACCAGCTGGCATTGTTGCACAAGGAAGAATTAACATGATCCAGTTTTTGGTATATAGAGAGATACAGTAAGAGATTTAAGGGGCAAACGGGCATGATGTAGGAAATCTTTAATACGTACAGTATTTAATTTGGCACTTAATTTCAGATAACTAACAAAACTCAAACTGGAATTGTAATTTATTGATGTCTATAGGTTTTAAACATTGAAGATAATATAAACTTTAGGTAAGGCTCTCCGGCCCAAAAAAAAAAAAAAAAAATCAGTTTAAACTGTAGTCCTGTACTCACCATTCACTGATGAGTAACAGAAAGAAATGAATTTGAGTTCAGCAAACTTCCATAAGGATACACTGCTAAGCACTGCTTATTGGAGGATTGCACTGATTGGTGTTTCAGTGCAGAATTGAAACAGCTATAATAAGAGCTTCAGTTATTATGAAGACAGCCATTGCCTGTATTTCTCTAGATCAAAGGTCTCCAACCTTTCTCAGTTGGCGGACCGGCGGGAAAGGGAGGGGAAAGCATTTTATGCACGCCCACGTGCACACACACAAATAGGGCCATGAGCACTCATGATGCAAACGGGGTGGTGCTAGCGCCTGTATGACACTCACTAGCACTGCCCTCTTTTCGCCACATGGCGCCCGTTTTCCCCACATGGCCCCCCATTTTTGCCACGCAGTGTCCCGTTTGCATAGCAGCAGCGGTGCTAACATGAGGATGAGCATGCGCACACACGTGTGCGCTGGCCAGCCTTTTCCATGGCCAGCAGGCCACAGCCTGATAGTGGGCCACGGCCCACAGGTTGGGGACCCCTGCTCTAGATCATCCTTGATAACATTAGCTTCTCTCTTCACCCACTGTTCTGTTTTCCTCTTTCCTTCTACCTTCTTTTTTTCTCCTCCTCTTCCTTCTCAGTGCCTTATTTTGGACATAATTGTAACAGAGCCAACGTAAAGGAGAGGAAAATGTTGTACATTTTAATGTGATTTTTTTGGACTCTCTTTTTTTCCTCTGTACACACACTTGTGCTCAGAATAACAAAAAGAGTAAATGATGAAACCATAGGCCATATAAAATCTTTCTTTTATGGTTATTCTTGGGACGCAGTCCATTTAATCATGTAAGCATTTATCAGAGACCAGTATGAGATGAAACAAAATGCTTAAAAAGGTGTGAGGAGGTTTTGTCCATCCGCAACTGGTGAATATTTTATTGCAGTTAATTTCCTTAGCTTTAATCTCCCTCAAGTGCAACCTATAAAAAAATTGGAAGAGGACATTTCCTCGTGGAATCTAGGCTTGCCATATCAAAGCAAAATACTGTTTGAGATATCCACTGGCTTTTTTTAATGCCATGATAAATGAATATAGCATGGGGGGGCATCACTCATAGACAATAATGCTTTCCATGTAATTCCATCCATTTTTTTGGAACTATTCATGACTTTGTCCATTCTTATTTATTTATATTCAGCCTTTGCTAGAATTTAATTCTTGCTTATCATTGATAAATACGATTGGTAGTTATTCAGATCTGCTTCAAAGCATATTTTGCCTTTCTAGAACCTATTTCACATAAAGACCTAATCATGCAAGTAGCCAGCACCCCTCCAGCTTCCTATTTTCTAGTAATGAAATGCAAGTCAAGATGCACATTTACTCCCCTCAGAATCCTACTGGACTGTTATGACTAGGCTTTTGAAGGCAGTGTAAGAAATGCTGCCATTCTAGAGGCTTGCCTCAGTCCTGACACTTTTTCCATGTCAGGGTTAACCTCTTTCTTTCAGCTTCCCACGTAGTGGGATCTTCCAATGTTATCCCAGTCAGATGGGTAGAAGTCCTGCAATGGAGCCCACCTAGTTAAAGTAATGCAAGTAGTAACTCATAGAAATGGAAGAGTCTGTTGTTTCTTTTGATTGCATCTTAGCTCTAGTATGGCTCTTCTCAGCAGCCAGGTGCCAAAATACTCCCTTATTGCAAGCAGTAAGAAATCTTTAAACCTATAGTTAAGAGCTATTCATTTAAAAACAATCTGATGAGGACATTCACATTTTCCTGACTATCCCTTTGCCTACTCCTCAGTATTGATATAAATAGCTAATCCACCACTGTTTGTTATCTATCCTGATCAGGGTGAGGCAGCAAAGACAAAATAGCATCTGAAATAAAATAACCAATCACTTTTTCTTCTCCCAGGAGATCCAATGGAATTGGAGAGAAGGTATCTTTGTTTAAAGTATGCATGTATATATGTATGTGTGTGTGTACATACATAGAAGCATGCATGCATACATACATACATACATATATAATATTTTTATTGGCAAATTCACATTAAAGTTGTCTCCGGTATGCATAATCTTTTATAACAAGTATTGCTCTTTATATTACACGTTTTATTGTTTTAAAATGCTATAACATTGCATCTGTAATATCTCTTTTGTCTCAAAATGCTTCAAGGTATCAAGTGTGGGAGAAAGTTAGCCAAAAAATCAAAGCAAATTAATAACCACCAATGCCTCAGTTATTAGCATAATCACATACACTGGACCTTTTGACCATACAATCTATACTCATCTTGTTTCAGAACATTCCTTCCCATTTGCATTAATTACAGACCTCTCAAAAACAAAATCGTGATTAACAACTGTTATCTGTTCCTCTGTCTGATAGAGATAGGTTAAGAGATGGTGCTTCCTGCTTAGTTGGTAGCTCACCTTTCTAAGAGCTGAAATTCTAACTATGCCTCTTTAGACATTTGGAGGAACCGGAAGAAAAAGGAGGGTGAACATGGAGCCAGCTTTTAAAGCTTGGCTACTCTGAAGGTTAGGAATGATTTCTCAAAAGGAAAATCCATACACTTTTTGTACTTTCATTATTGTTAAAGCTTAAAGCCTGTATATAAATATTTTATGCCATCACTGTGAGCCTTAAGGAATATAAAGCACTAATTTGTTTTGTTTAAAAGTTGCTACCACAGCTTTAATCATTGTATATTGTCTACAATTTCAAAGTCATATACTTAGTGAGTTACTATGTTAATGTTTCGTTATTTTAGTTTGGTGGAGAATAAGTGAGGTTGCTTTTTTGTCTACCACCTGCTTTTCCAATTTGTATTTATATTTTGTTCTTGTTTTGGAGGATTCCTCTACTTTTGTTTGCTTATCTAGAGCCTAATTCTTAAAAAATGTACCTTTATAAATAAATACCCAAGTATACTACTTTGTATCCAAGATTGGCTCATCACTTATTCGTCCACTTCAGTAAACTGAATTGTTACACACAGTGCAATTAAGGATGCAGATCAAGAAAAAAACAATTTGGTTTAGATATTACACATAATATGCCACAAGAAATATTTGGAGGTATTAAAAGATAATCATGTTTTAGATTAATGTTCCTATCTGCAGTTTTTATATGCACTTTTATTAAAAATGAGAAACTTTGTCAGATTAATCAGGAAGATCTCATATTTAATTCATTTAAATTTTGAATTATTGGTAATAATTGTCATTGGGACTGAGCCTTATTTATTTCGGTAGGGTATGTCACCAGGAGCAATGTAGCTATTATTGGAAGCAATGGAATTACCACATAACAGTAATAAATAAGTTGGTAATTTTGATTTTAACATCTTTGATTTTAATATCCACTTACAGATTAAAGCAATGAAGAACTGATTATACCAGCACTTAAAGAAACAGCTTTATTTTCAGTTACCTAAGATACTTGCAAAGTTTAACATTCTGTTTTAAATAAATAGCACACTTAACACATTAACTAATTTTAACCTATAGAATCTAATATATCTGATGAAGATACTGAAATCTATCTGTTGTGGAAGTACTTCACATCCTTTTTTATTAATGGAGCTATTTTGTAGTTTATTGGGGAGGATTAATATAGAATCAATAAACTACATTAATCAGGTCTTTGATTATTTACTTTGGGATATTGTTTGTGGAGTTTAATATTTTAGTATGTTTAGTCTTACATATTAGGGATATAGGGTACAATCAAGGATACTTTCATTGCTTTTTTTAAAATAAGCCCAATGTTTAAACATTTGCAACTGAGTGCAAAAGGAAAACATATTTCTTCATTTCTGCACTTATTAAATGACTCAACAATTAGATGCATTTTAATTCTTATACACTAAAAGGAATCTTGCATCGAGTCTCCAGTTAACTGCTGCAGAGTTTCTCTCGTATTCTTATCTGTTAATGCAGCTTCCATCAGTTCATAGGCTTTGGAGGCTGTACCCTGAAAATAGCAATAGTAATAAGCACTTAGACTTATATACCACTTCACAGTGCTTTACGGTCCTCTCTAAGCGGTTTACAGAGTCAGCATTTGCCCCCAACAATCTGGGTCATTATACCTACCTCGGAAGGATGGAAGGCTGAGTCAACCTGAACCAGTGAGAACTGAGCTGGCAGCCAATAGAAATAGCCTGCAGTACTGCATTCTAACCACTGCATCACCACAGCTCATAATGCAAGTGACCAGCTGTCTGCAAGGAATATAAATCCTTCCATTCCCCTCATCCAGTCAGAGCTAAAGAAACTTCTTGAATGAGAAGCGAAATGTCTTCAAAGAAAAACAAAGTCTAGTTGCCTCTTGAAAAAGCATCTTTGAGACAACCATGACCTGGATGATTGAGAATCTCCATAGAAATATTATTTCTCTCTCTCTCTCTCTCTCTCTCTCTCTCTCTCTCTCTCTCTCTCTCTCTCTCTCTCTCTCGCACACACACATACACACACACTGAATTCAAGTAGTCAAAGTATCTAATGTTCCCTCCTATTTTCTCAACAACAACCCTTGAGGTGGGCAGTTGCCTCTTGAAAAAGCACCTTTGGGATAACCATGACCTAGATGACTGAGAATCTCCATAGACATATAATTTCTCTATTTCTTTTACACACACACGCACACGTGGTCAAAGCATCTAATGTTCCCTATTTTCCCAACAACAACCCTGTGAGAGAGTTGAGAGGGTTGAGAGAGAATGACTGTCCCAAAGTAACTTTTATATCTAAGGGAAGCCAAAGCCTAGAATTCTGGTTTCTAGGCCAATCCCCTTATCACTGCACAAATGAACTGATTCATTTATGAGCCAAAAATGTGAAACGTCCTATTTTCTGCCTTTTCAAAATAAGATGCAGAAGAAATTATTTAGAAGTAACATAAGGTAGCCATAACAGAGATAAAATCAATGTTATTTGTAATGCATGTGACTTATCAAAAAGATCATTAGGTGAACTGCTGTCTCATGTTGTTCCCAAAAGGAAAACACTATTGTAGCAAAAATAATCTTCAGCACCTGAAGAACAAATACATTTGTTGAAATCGTTCATTTAATCAGGTACAGGATCATCATCAGAGCAGTGGAGCACTCTGGAATATGTAGGGTCATACAGTTATTATGCAACTAGTTAAAGCAGCAGTAGTAGCTGAGATCATGTATAGGAACGATCCAGGTATTTCAAAAGAGCTGAAGACACAGGCTACATTTGCACCCCTAAATGTTTTAAAGCTCATTCATCTCCCTAAAGCAGGATGCACATAAGCCTCACTCTAAATGTTAAACATTTATTCCATATATCCAAAAACATACAATGAATTGGATGCATCAATAAACTGAAATGGTCATCTCAATTTCTCATTCTTGGCATTTTGCATTGAGATTGGATTTCAACAGCATGATACTTGACTATCATCTGCTTCTAGGGAGATCCATCTTTTTCTCCTACTGAGAATATATAGGAACCCAAGGCTAACTACATTTGAGACCAGCCAGTGAGCAATGAATGGATCTAGATGGATAGCAAAAACAACACCTCAGAGTATAGCACAACATTCAGCTTATCACAGACTCAGCTTTATTGATCTGACGTTAGAACTCTCACATGTTAGAATTATAGTCCAGAACTGTGATAAGCCACACTGTTCAATAAAAAAGTAAAAAGGAGGTGCAGAAAGGCTTCTGGAATCTGAAATGGAGAAAAAAAAATTGGGTCATACCATTTCTTTAAAGCTTTCCCTTACTGCTTTCCATGTCACTATCCAAAAGAAGACAAATAACATGGGATCAAAACCTCAAGACTCAGGTAGTACATTAATAAATACCCACATACCAATATATGGTGTTTCTATTGTGAATGACTGAATCTTGTAACTTACATTTTTCATATCACATGAATTCTTTGTTTAGAATAGTATAAATATCTGCCTAAATAATAAAGTTATTGTCTTCAAGTTTGACTTGGCCACTGAACTCCTAAGCCACCCTCTGCTGTGCAGGAATCTAAGGCATCCAAAACATTATCTTGCCTCCATTTGAAATACGTTCAATGGATCTACTACCTCTCAGCGTAATTGGTAAAATTATGGTAACTATGACTGCAAATGAAATGGGTGCGTCTTGTCAGAATTTGAACAAGCATGTGTAGGTTGTAAGAAACTAAAGTTTGGAAATTTACAGGTCGAGGGAACTTCAACTTCAGCAACCCAGAGCTTGGAAAAGGACACACAACAAAATGTATGCTGTTGACGTGGATGTTGTGAAAGAAAAAAAAAAATAGCAACATCTTCCTTCTTTTTCTCAACAAAGCCAGTCTTATTTTATTAGTTTCCTATTCCCATTAGGCACGGGAAACCAGCAATTGGTTGAAACTTGCTTGTGGAAAATGCGAATGCTCAGTTCCATAGTAATCAACAACTGGCCATATCTGATCTGTTTAACTAAAAAACTACTGGTCATGTATGCACTCTTGTTTAAATATAACATGTGATGCCTCCAATGGCAGGTGAGGTCACAATTTCCATTTGAAGAAGCTTCTTTGTATTTAGTAACATATCTGACTGGCAATTGCTCATCTGCAGAGAAATCTATCAAGCAAAATAGCAGTTACATAGAAACATAACCGATGGTTTGATACTGCAAGGAAGTAAACTTAGGTTATATATTTGAAGGAGTTCCTGATGCTAAAAACTATCAGTAGAATAGAGTGTCTCTGGAAGAGGTATAGCCTCACTGAGAGTCCCAGCAGCAATTTTCCCAATGGTTTAGCACAGTGTTTCTCAACCTTGACAATTTTAAGGCATGTGGACTTCAACTCCCAGAATTCCACAGCCAGCAATGCTGGCTGTGGAATTCTGGGAGTTGAAGTCCACATGCCTTAAAATTGTCAAGGTTGAGAAACACTGGTTTAGCAGATCCTGCACTGAGCTGTCTTCAAACTCTGATTCTATGAAATATTAATTGACTGTACATACTTTTCAGTGAATTTTTTATAATATGCTGATATCTTCTCCAAAATGTTTAGCATTTTAAAACTTGTTTTTGTATAATATATATGTAGAATAAATGATATTTCTAAAGAGCTGTTATGTTGTTTCTAAGGCTGCCTCTAAAATGTATACGTACCAGCTCTTATGTTAAAACTTTATTAACAATATGAATTGCTTTTATTTCATTTTAAAATGAAAATAATGTATATTATTAGGTTGTTTTGAGTATTTCAAGCTTTTTTTATAAAGTTAATTTGAAATTTAATATTCTTATACTAACACTGTAAGCCTACAAACAGCTATTCAAAATTAAATCTTTTTGAAAACTCGTGAGACCATGGCTAGATAAAAAGTAAAGGGCTGTTCTTGACACTTAGTTTTAGATGCTGAACAGTTTGTCCCTGTATTTCAGTCCATCTTAGTCTGCTGGAACACGCTTAGCATTACAGGCAGTCCTTACCACTTTACGACCACAGCTGGGAACCACAATTTCCATTGCTAAGCAAGGTGGTTAAAACTGTCGTGCATGGTTTTACATCAGAGTTGTTAAGCGAATCAGTGCAGTTGTTAAGTGAATTATACAGTTGTTAAGTGAATCCAGCTTCACTTTCAACTTGCTTATTGAAAGCTGGCTGGGAAGGTCACAAATTGTGATCATATAACCCTGGGATACTGCAATTGTCATAAATACATGCTGCTTGCCAACTTTGATATGATGTGATGATCGTAAATATGAAGAGCAGTTGTAAATCACTGTTAGTGTTGTTGTAATTTCAAATGGTCGCTAAATGAACGGTTGTAAGTCAAGGACTATTTGTATTTACATCGCATCTCTAAATATGCTTTTTTAAAGTTTCATCTGAGTTTGTTCTATACACTTATTAATCAGATCCTTATTGTTAGAAGGCCCCAGCATAGTAATTAACATGTCTCACCTGAAATAATCCTAACCACTGTCACACATAGATTCCGACCCACAGCAATAAGAAGAGAACTCCAAAGCCCATGAAGAGTGATGCTACTAGAGAGATGAGTAATTCTTTGTAAATGTCCCGGGTATACTTTGTGGATGTCACTTCATAACTGAGATAGTAATTAAAGATATAACCAGACAGGTGTACAGAAAACCTGTCTATGTAAATTGGAAAAACACACAATTGTTTCCTATATATAATAGAATGACAACTGACTGTACTGATCACCTATCTTTAACCTAGCTCATAATACAGAAATTAAGCAATCCTTTCCTTGCCAAAAATAAAGGAGACTCATTGATCACTTTCTTCAGTTAAGTTAAACAGAATGGAATGAATTGAAGGAACAGAAGCAAGTTAGCAACTATCCTCAGCTTCAGTTATAATGGTAGCCATTAAGTAACAGAGAAATACTGTCACACCCGTGCTGTCTCTCATGTATTTATAAAGTCAAGTTTCTTTATCAAAATTTCACAACTCTCATCATCCAAGTTTAAATGTTAATCTTTTTTAGTTAAAACTTTTTTTGATTACTTAGAATGCTTTCCCACCCTTGAGAAACAATCAAATTTCTAATGACACTGAATCATAATAATGCTTGTAATACAATTTTAAACTGAGCATGTGGCACAAATCCTGAATGTAATGTTTGTCATTTTTTTTGTCTTTTGAATTTTGGCAATTCAGTATCTCCACTCCTGACATAAAAGCATGTTATGATGCTGTAAAATATTTATGTTCAACAAAAGTAGTAATAATCATATGTCTGCTGCTTAAAAGAACAGGAAAATATGTGAACACCATTCATGACATCCTAATATTGGGTCATCCAGGTGTTTTCTGGCAAACCAAAAATTTCCATTAATTTCATTTTTATCTAAGTGCTTTTCTAATGATGGAATCTTGAACACCAATTTTAGCCAAGAGGAGAGAGTCCCCTGAATATTGGTATATACTATAGTTAAGAGTTGTGGCTTCCCAATGATGTTATGCTGTACCTTGACATTATACTCTGCTACTCTGCCTTCTGAAAATTATCTCAAATGTTCTTCATTTAAGGATTGTATCATCATCAATTGATGGAAATCTAGTATTAGGAACTTACTTTGAGTGGAACATGACATATCTCTAGAACCTACCATTATAATAATGGAAGCTAAAGAATGTAATAATAGAGCAGATTCCTGAATCAGCACTTACTGGTTAATAAAGTATTTAAACAATATACTTTAATTATCTTTTAACTGAATTGACCAAACTACGGAGGTAACAGGGATTTCAACTGATATACTGCTTGTTTGATAACTGTTGATGAAATATATAAAAAAGTGCTAAATTTCTTTTGTTTGTTCATACTCTATATATCACTAATCTTAATACTCAGTAGCAAAACATACAATAGGAAGAGTAAAACCCTGTTAAGACTTTATTGCATTTTTCAAGAACAGAGGTCTTCAAAGTTGGCAACTTTAAGACTTCTGGACTTCAGCTTCCAGAATTCCTCAGCTAGACATGTTGGCTGGGGAATTTTAGGAGTTGAAGTGCATAAGTCTTAAAGTTGCCAAGTCTGAAGACCCCTGTCAAGAACAAAAATCTATGGTATTCAAATTTATACAGTAAGCAGTTAGACTAAAGATATGGTCTCCACAGGACTGTTGACCACCTTATATATTTGCAAGTAACCAAAATATATCACTGCAATAGTAAGGATACACAAAGAACCAAGCTGTGAAGAACATGCCAATGGCCAGGAGTACCACAGTGAGATGTGGAAACACTGCCGGATTCACCGGACTGGTGTATCTGCTCATTGTTTCAAGCTCCTGAAATAAAGAAAAAAAAAAGGGATGGGTGGGTGACGAGACAAGAATATAAGACAGTGATGGCGAACCTTTTAGAGACCGAGTGCCCAAACTGCAACCCAAAACCCACTTATGCATTGTCGAGTGCCGGGTGGGTGTGGCCCATTGGGTGGGCATGGCTGCAGTGGTAATAGCAGACTGGGTGGGACTAAAAAGTTCAATCCCAACTTTGCAAGATCTTTTTTTTTTTTCGTGAGAAGTTGAAATTGACTAATTGATTGAACCCTTTTTTTTTTTTTTTGCACACGGCGGCAAAGGCCTAAAGCGAAAAGATTTTATAAAACCCAGCTGAAGGCCGAGGACTGGGGCGACGGCACGTGTGCCCACAGAGAGGGCTCTGAGTGCCGCCTCTGGCACCTGTGCCATAGGTTCGCCACCACTGATATAAGACTATGAAGATTTAAGTACTATTTTTAAATATATATTTTATTTAGAGAACTGCAGCACGAGGCAAAGGAACTATTTACCCCTGCCCCTCATGGATGTTGAGAAGGATGGACACAAGAGTGAGAGCCAGTGAAGCCGTTGGCCTAGAAACCAGGAGACTGTGAGAGTTCGGCTTCCCTCTTCTAGACATGAAAGCCGGCTAGAAGGCTTTGGGACAGTCATTCTCAGCCCAATCTACCTCATAGGATTGTTGTTGTGGGGAAAATAGGAGGTGGGAGCATTAGGTAGGTGAAGGAAGGAAGGAAGGAAGGAAGGAAGGAAGGAAGGAAGGAAGGAAGGAAGGAAGGAAGGAAGGAAGGAAGGAAGGAAAACTACAACAGCCCTTTATCTGTTGATGCCCCTACAAGGACCCTCCCCGCCTTTTCCTTATCCTGAGGCCTGCAAGCCTCAGCTTGAGCCTCTTGGCCTCCCTCCACAGGAATGTAAAGTAAGGTCCATGGGAGGTCCAGCTTCTGTGTGTGAGCCTCTTTCTGTCTTTTGCAAAAAGAGCCACCTGTCATTAACAGGAAGCCCCTGAAAAGCTTTCTCTTGGATTACAGACGCGCCGGAACTGGGTCCGACAATCACCAACGGCCGCAGCCGGAAAAAGCCTCCATGCAAAAAAACAGCCGCCGATTTTCCCTCTCCCTGCCACTTACCATGGCTGCGACGGCGGCGGTTCCTGTTACAGAAGGACACGTCCGTTCTTTCCTGCCATCCTCGCTCCGCCCTTCCGTCTCCGGAGCGCTGTCTGTCATCAGTCTCTCCAGCCTAAAGCGTGCTGGGAGTTGTAGTCTTCTTGGCTCTCTTGTAGTACGGGGGGCGCACAAAGCTGTCGTCAGAACTACATCTCCCAGAAATCACTGCGTGGTCTCGTCTCTTGCAGCCCTGAGCGCGGGATTTAGAAGGCGCGAAGAGTTGGGGAGCGCCGGGCTGGGGAGATAGACGCAATTTAGTTCCCGCGCGGTGGACGGAGGGGCGCGTCAATCAAAGGCGGTGGGAGCCTGTTGGCCCGCTCGGAGGTAGAGGAAAGGTGCGGGACGAAGTTGCTTTTGCGGCTGTGCACAAAATCGAAAAAGAGCTCTTTGCCAGATAGCGTGGTGGGTGTTACCACTTTTATTATTGCTATCATTCCAGTTGGCTTTTCTAATTGTGGACACATCAAGTTTGGCGCGGGATGGTGGAATTGCAAAACTGAATGTTTGAAGAGCCCATTCATTTAGCAAGAGGCTTAGCGCTGGGGTGGGCGGCTAAGTACTTGGAATCAATACGGCAAGTTTGGATCCACCTGGGTGGTTCTCCCATCTGGTTTCATGTGCGTGAACTCTGAATTCCCAGAGGCCGATTCGCCCTGCAGGCATTGGCCTTCGGACGAGCACAGGTCTTACCGACGACAGTTTAGGTTTTGTTTCCCAGTGTGGTACCCTATGCTGGTAGAAAAGTGAGGCCTCCACCGCATTCTTCAGTTTCTACTGTCTTTGAGTTGTGGCTGACTATGAACAGTCGTCAGTAATTTTTCATGCCCGTGATGATCTTATCCATTGGAAGAGGATTCTTTATAGCCTTTATTAGAAATAAATTATCTTAAAATGTGGCTTTGTTATCTATAGCCATTCACTTAGCATGAACTAGCTGCAGTTAAAGTTTTCTTAATGCACCCCATTACAAATAATTACATTTTTCTTGGGAGTAAAGTTATCAGTATGCTGCTTTTAACTCCCAAGAACTCTGGGTGATTACAAATAAAAGCATTAAAAACAAGAAAACATATAGCAATAGATAAAAACCAAGGATGAAAATGAGAAGAGTGATGAAAACAAGAATGGGAACAAAAAGAAACAAGCCCACAGAGTCCATAAGGGAAATGTAATTTCTTCCTAAAGTCCTTTGAAATGTCACTTAAGATAATTGATCTATGTGATATTGATAAAAGAGTATCAGTACACTAAGAATATGTCTTGTTCCACTATGAGACCTGCTTGTTGTCATTTTAAAATTTACCTATTACTTTATTTCCTAGGTTTCTCCTCTATTATATTGCCTCAGATTCATAGACTGACCAGTTGAGATGGGAATCCACGGTTTGGCTAAGCTGATTGCAGATATGGCTCCTGCTGCCATTCGAGAAAATGACATCAAGAGTTATTTTGGGCGGAAAGTGGCCATTGATGCCTCTATGAGTATTTACCAGTTCCTAATTGCTGTAAGACAGGGAGCTGATATGCTGCAGAATGAAGAAGGTGAGACCACAAGCCACCTGATGGGTATGTTCTACCGCACTATCCGCATGATGGAAAATGGCATCAAGCCTGTCTATGTCTTTGATGGCAAACCCCCCCAGCTGAAATCAGGTGAATTGGCTAAGCGTACTGAGCGCCGGACTGAAGCAGAAAAGCAGCTGCAAGAGGCCAAAGAGATGGGTGAGGAAGAAAATATAGAAAAGTTCAGCAAGAGACTAGTTAAAGTGACTAAACAGCACAACGATGAATGTAAAAAACTGCTGACTTTGATGGGCATCCCATATGTAGATGCCCCTGGTGAAGCTGAAGCTAGCTGTGCTGCGCTAGTGAAAGGAAACAAGGTCTACGCAGCTGCCACTGAGGATATGGATTGCTTGACCTTTGGCAGCCCTGTGCTAATGCGGCATCTTACAGCGAGTGAGGCAAAGAAACTGCCCATTCAGGAATTTCATCTAAACCGTATTCTCCAGGATATGAGCTTGAGCCAGAAAGAATTTGTGGACTTGTGTATATTACTAGGTTGTGATTACTGCGAAAGCATCCGTGGAATTGGACCCAAACGTGCAGTGGAACTCATCAGGCAGCACAAAAACATAGAGAAGATTATTCAGCAACTAGATGCTAAGAAGTATCCTGTGCCTGAGAACTGGCTGCACAAGGAGGCCCAAAAACTCTTCTTGGAGCCTGAAGTTGTAAACCCAGAAGAGGTGGAGCTAAAGTGGAATGAGCCTGATGAGGAAGGACTGGTTAGCTTCATGTGTGAGGAGAAGCAATTCAATGAAGAAAGAATTCGTAATGGGATCAAGAGACTGAACAAGAGTCGACAGGGAAGCACTCAGGGCCGGCTGGATGATTTTTTCAAAGTGACCGGCTCAATTACCTCAGCTAAGCGTAAGGAGTCAGAGCCTAAGGGATCGGCCAAAAAGAAGGCCAAGAGTAGTGGTTCAGCAACATCAAAATTTAAGAAAGGGAAATAAAGTTCTAGAACAGTGCTAAGTCTTCAACACTCCACTTTTCCTTGGACAAAATATATTAAGCAGCAAATCCAGGCTTTCTTCTGTGACATACAGTTGATTTACAATACTCAAAAAGTGAAAGAATTGTTGGTTGCCTATTAACAAAAACAATACTGCTGCATTCAGAAGGTGTTTGGAATCTTTGGTCTCCAAAGTTTCTTGTTGAGAGCTACTGTCGCCTTGAGTATTATGAAATCTCAGTCATGCCACGTATGGTGTTTAATCTATTATTGTTAACGATAATGTGATGAAATGACTTAATTTTGAGTTGCAGATTTCAATCAGTATTGGCAACCTGCTAAATGTGCATAGATACTAAAATAAATTTTATAAGATTGCAATACAGTGTTTACTGGAAATATCTGTGGTGTTCAGAAATGAACTGTTACAGCTGCTATTCAATAATCTGTTCACTAAAACACATGTCAGATGGGATAGCTGTAGAGGTGATACATTAGCTTCTCATTCAGCCTTGTTTATAACTTATCTTTGGCCAAAAAGGACTTTTATCTTCAATGACAACAATTGCTTAGAAAGTTGGCCATATCTGAGGATTAGAAAGTAATAGTAGTTGAAAACTGGCAGTAATGATAACTTGGCAGTGGGTAAAAAAACTTCAAAGGAAGTCAGAATCTTAAGAGAGTTTCATGTATACTTTACAGTACAATTGAAATTTTCATACTGGTCTTGGCATTTGATTTATAACATTTAACCCTGCATGGGTTAAAAATAAGCCATTTTAATTTTTTCAAATGTATATAATAAATCTCCATTTTCATTACTACATCTTGCTTTATATTATGCTTAAACAAATGGCTCTTGCTTTATATTATGCTTAAACAAATGGCTCTGTTACTTTAACACAGGAATGTCAAACTCGTGACGTATCGCGACTTTTTTCCCATTGCTGACAATACGGTGGGCGTAGTTTCGGCGAGGCGCATCTGGCCTGCTAGCTGGCAGTTTAACATACCTGCTTTAACAAATCTTTTTAAACATTCATGAGAGATGCCTACTTACGATTCAAGAAGAAAATTGTGAGTTTACATTTCTCTGGATGGAAAAGGAGCTTGGGTTGAATTCAGATAAAAATTAGAAATAAGGATTTCAGGATTAGATATTAGTTAAAATAAATTAGGATTTATTGTACAATGTCAAGACATAGTTTTAAATTGAATCTTGCCACTAAAAGAATTGTTTGCATGGTTGTATGCAGGCATTAAAGCACAATGAGGCAAAAGAAATTCTATATTAATAGAATGCATGAAATGTAAAATATTTTGTTTCAAATCCAATAAAAACATATTTCAGATGTGGTTTCATTTTGGGTTACTTGTGATTTAGCATAAAATTTGGACTCTTAGATGTCTTGGATTTCAGAAAAAGCAAAATCTAGAGAGGCCCTAGAATTATTTTATGGAGTGAAGAAGACCTTTTTCTCCTCTCAACAGTTCACAGAATATATCCCACCAGCTTGCCCTCCCACCCTCCACCAATGCTGATGTCCCCACAAAACTTTTCCCACTGATTTGATCTGCCTTAGGAGACGTCTAAACTCTACCACAGATTTACTACTTCTGAAGAGATTTCAGTCTACCTGTGATAGATCTTTCTTTGCTTCTCATAGCTCGTAGTTGCAGATGAACTGGATAAAACTTTCAATCTCTTCTGATGCTCACATTGAAGCCTATCATAGTGCATTGTGCAATCTTTGCATGCTGCAATCCTCCATTGCTCTCGAAGAGCTGTAAATGCAAGAACTTCAACAATACGCTTCTTTCCACCCAGCTTCCATTAATGCCATTTCTTCAAAATATATTTCTATGTGGTTCTCCCTTCCAGAAAAATCTAGTTTACAATTTTATAATCCCCCTCTAAGAAAATCCCTAAAAAATAAACCACTGATTCAAACAATGTAAAAATATCATTCTAAGACTAAGTCATTTTTTAGCTTTGTTTTTTTCAGAAAGAACGAGCTATTGATTATAAGTATTAACTATTACAGTATGTATAAATTGCTGAGAAGTACAATACTTGTTTGTGTGGAACATTAATGATTTTCCTACAGCAGGGGTATCAAACTCGCAACTTCGTGTGGCGTTTCGTGACGTATCGCAACTTTTTTTCCATTGCCGGCAATGAGGTGGGCGCGAAATTGTTTTGTCTTGTTGAAAATTTAATTTTATCTAAGCAGAAGTCTTAACTATGGTTCAGTTAGAAGCTTCATCCTCCTGAACTGAGCATTACTCAGATGGCAGAATGAGGTCAGAATGTAATTATTGAATGCCAGTCTTTAACAAACTGACGGAATAATCAGGTTTTTTGAACATTTAATTCTGCATGATGTTGACTGTGGTAGATGGTGCTCCATTCTCCCAATTCTTTGACCTCTCGGATTCTTGTGGAAAAATAAAAGCCTTAAAAAAAAATAAAAGACTTTTACGAATTCCAAGGGTGAAAGAGAGGTTTATTTTTGCGCAAAGGTTCAGAAGCGATTTACAATCAGCAAATTTCTGAACAAGGGGGAGGGTCTAAACTAAAGCTTTATAGGTTTCTTTTTCTCAGGAACAAAGGAAGCATAGATGGAATCTTACATTGTATATGGAATCTACTTTGTGTAACTTTCAGATAGTTTCTCACACGTTAGGTCCATTTCTCATGGGAATACAATGAAAGCAGTTTTTACTTTTAAACGATGTTTCTAAATATGCATTAGGTCATTCACGTACTGTTAATACAGCTTTTTGCTAACACAGCTTTCTAACAGAAATTATGCAGACACATGATTTTTGCTTTTAATGATTTTTCATTATTATTATTCTACTTTATTCTTCTTTATTCTATGTTATTCTATTTCTTTCCCACATTAGGATGGTGAATATTGTAATTTCCTCAGATAAAGTGCATTGCCTCAGAATCTAAGACTCAACTTCTGTTGTGATGGCATTAAGAAATGTCTAATGTCCAAACCTATTTCTGGCCAGAAAAGTGAAAATCAAGGTCAGTGGAAAATTAAATATAAATAAAGCAACTTCACCTACCAAAAGTACAGGAGCAGCTTTACTATCTTTCTAAGGCCTTAGAGGAAATTGAGGTTTGTTGGTTATCCTGTTGCGTTAAATTCATTATACACTTATATTTTACCTTGAGGATAATATGAAATTGTGGTTTGAAAGAAATGAGACAGCAAATCCATGGGATTATTTTGCAGTTGCATGTACTGTTGCAACACAAATACTACTTACATCATGGCATCCTAATGAATGCTCTGCCATTACAGTATAGTATTAACTGAAGTTAGAAATCAGTATCTTATCTGATAGTGATCCCTAAACTTTTGCAATGGAGGTCTGACAGTACTGACCACATAAAGGATTTGGGGTGGGAATGGGATTAAATCAGAAGAACATAATTACAAGAGCTACAGGTTTGCCTGAACTGTTATTTGATTTAGTAATTATGTTGTGTTTAGATAAAAATAAAGGTTGTTCTACTAAGTCTGCCCTTCCCTTTTAATAAAACCATGATAATATGTCTGTTTAGAATACAGGTTGGACATTTTCATACATGGTGATGTGAAAAAAAGATTGCAGCTATAAAACCATCGCCATTATTCTAAAATGGGGGACTGACAAGACAATTCAGGACTCGTTGCTTTTTTTTTTTTCTTCAGGCAAGGCTCAAATCTCCATCAGTGCATATCCAACTTAAAACTAATCCTTCATTTAAGGTGAACATGGTAAAATGAGGCATCAGTTCTCATACTGAGATCAAGATACTTCCACAAAGAAGCTTTCCTCAAACTAAACAGGAAAGGGCAAATATTAATATCTGGATCTTTGGTAAAGCAGTTAGGCTTAGCCTGATGTTGAGTTTCAGAGATTCTGCCAGTTGACTGAGGCACCTTTTTGGAAGAAAAGGGTCAAATCTGGAGTATAAGGAGAATTATGGATTATTACATGAATGAATCAACAGAAGTCTCAGTTCCATGTATTCCCATTTCATGTATCCCCATTTCCATGTGAGAGAAGAGATTAAAGGCTTCCTTGTAGTTTTCCTTTCTCAGTTGGTAAGGAAGGGCAAATAAATTACAGTGGTGGGATTCAGCCAATTCGCACCACTTCCGCAGAACCGGTAGCTAATTTTTTGTGGCCCAGGCCCTGAATGGACTTCCGGAAGCAGCATCCACACAGAGAACCAGTTGTTCACATATTTGAATCCCATCACTGATAAATTACAATATATTATTTTGGCCTATTAATGAATTAAATTTCAATGGTCCACCATGTCATGGAATAGAACTCTCTAAGAGTAGGGAGACTTACAAGTTTATGTTAGCTCATTCAGACAGCAGCAAACCATATATTTCCAATTATTTACAGGTAGTCCTTGTTTAGCAAGAATAATTGGGATTGGCAGCTTGGTTGTTAAATGAAGCAATTGCTAAGTGAAATATAATTTTACTTCAGCTTTCCTTTGCTTTATAGACCTCAGAAGATCATAAACGCAAGGAGTGGTTGCAAAGTTACTTTTTCATCATGATTACTAGAAATGGTCATTAAACAAGGCAATTGGTCTATCTGGAATGATTATTTCAGCTGTAATCAATCAGGAATAGGAAGCAACTAAAATTTCCTTTCCTGGCTAAGAACAGTGAGTAAATAAATTGTTGAATGATTTTTATACTACCCTTCGTTGAAGATGCCACTATTGGTTGGCTTCGCAGAAGTCAAAGCAGCATATGACTTAATGTGATATATGAACCACTCTGTTTTGCAGTTCTGCACTTGCATAGTAATAAAACTAAATCCTAATTTATCAGTATAAAAAATTATACTTCCAACTTCAATTTCTCCATCAATTAGGAAGTCAGTTGCTGTTGGAATATTCATGAGCAGGAAGAGTCATGTGGTAACTCAGCCAATGTGAAGAAAGTGCTACTGAGTCTGTGCAAAAGGTATTGAGTTAGAAGCTGAGTTTTCAGTCTCAGGTTTGTCTCTGTATCTCTCTGTAAGAAGTCTTCATTGAGCTATGTTGCTGTAAAGAAGAATGTATGGTATTGTAAATATTTTGATATGAATATAAAGAAATGTATTTGAATCAGCTAAATGCAGTCAACTGTGAGAGCTTCTGATTTATTTTTTCACCAACAGAAATTAAAATTCTCTAACAGTTGCCTTGTCTGAATTGCTTCCCAAGTTAATTGGTAAGCAGAAAACTTTATTCTTCTCTTCTTTCTCATTAGTGCTGACAAAGGCATCATTTTATTGAAAATTTTTAAAAACTTTTACAAAGACAAAAGAAAAAAAACAATAACAACAACAAAAAACAAAACAATACAACCCTCCCCCAACCCCTCCCAAGCCACCCCCTCCCTCCCCCCCCCGGAGCTTCCCAGAGCAGAATATAGGCTTAATTAAAAGAAATTAACAAAATTATAAGATAATTAAGAATAAAATATATATGAAAAAAGAATTATAAACCTTAAAAAGAAAAGGTGTTTAAAAAAGAAAAGCAAAGAAAAGAAAAAGAAAAAGTAGAGTTTATATACAAATTATAAAAAAGCTAAATGATATTTTTTCATATCCAATTTAAATTGTATAAAATTTATCCATTTTTCCCATACAGCAAAAAATTTCTCTTGCGATTGTTCTTTTAGGAAAGCCGAAATCTTTGCCATTTCCGCCAAATAAGATACTTTAAGAAACCACTCTTGCAAAGTAGGCAAAGATTCCTTCTTCCAATATTGCCCTACTAACAGCCTTGCGGCTGTAATCAAATTCAACATCAATATAACCTCCTTAGCATCACAATCAGTAACAATACCAAGCAGAAACAATTGTGGAGTAAATTTTACCCTCTTTCTAAAAATTCTCTGAATATTCCACCATATCTTAATCCAAAAAGCTTTTATATTTTTACACGACCACCAAATATGATAATAAGTGGCGTCCAAGCAGCCACATCTCCAACATCTAGGCTGTAAGTCAGAATACATAAAAGACATTTTTTGTGGATCGAGGTGCCATCTGTAAAACATTTTGTAAAAATTCTCCCTTAAATTCTGGGCTTGTGTAAATTTAACATTTCTCACCCAGATAGTTTCCCAGGTATCCAGTAGAACTGGTTCACCAAAATTCTGCGCCCATTTAATCATACAATCTTTAATTAATTCTGATTCTGAATCCAGTTCCACTAGCACCCCATAAATTCTCTTAATGTGAGTTTGTCTTTGATCCTTTACTTGCTTAAAAAGATTTTCATCTTCTCTAAGCAGGCCCACGTTACGGTCCATCTTCCATCTGTCTACTAATTG